ACCCCCTGTAATTTGCAAACGGCAACGCTAAACCGCAAACCCTGCCCCTGGACTGCATGCCTTTGACCCACACTGTCAACTAAACCCTAAAGCTTCAATGCCTCAACCCTCTAAACCCTGTAGACCTTATAAGCCTAGAAACTTCAAACCATGACCCTAAGGCCTGAACGCGACAACTTTAAGCCCTTAACTTTAAAACGACCACCCCCACTTTTAATCCATACGCCACAAACCCTAAGCCGTGAACCCTAACCCTGGATTGTATACATTGACCGTAAACGTGAACCTGACCCCCGTACAGCTCCCAACCCCGCCCAGTTTTCAGGGAAAATATTCATGCATTTATTTCTCGGAAAAAAACCACTCCAAGGCTAAAAGCTGCGAACGTTGACACCAAAACATCCCAGCTCAGGCCGCTTTTCAGGGAAAATATTCCTGCGATTTTTTCGCACAAAACGACACTGAAGGCCGACAAAACACGAAATGCAGAAGTGTCGTCGTTTTTGGAGCTGAATCCAGAGAAATCGCAAGTCCTGGCCCCCAGGGAAAGTCACAAGTGACCCTTCTGTCTGCCTGTGACTGACCGTCTCCAGCTTGTCATGGTCGTATGAGGAACCTTGCTTCCCAGCAAGATAAGCTGATTTCTTTTCGTGCCTGTTGCGCACGGGAATCTATGTCGATTAACGGCTTTCGAGTTTCCCGTTGGAGCCGTGAGGTGGAGCAACAAGATCGCGAGTATTCGACCAAGATCCCAGTCCCTAGGTAGCTCAATTTCACTTTCGCACGCCAGTCCGTAAAGCTGCTAGAGTTACTAGACTGCTAAGAAGGTCAGATAATGTCCACCGTGTTTGAAATCGGACATTTCCGCACTTAGTCAAAAGTGTGCATCCCCCGAGCTTTGCCGCAGTGGCATCAGTATCTCTGCTTTGCAGCAGGATGTGGGAACATCGTCTTGTTGGGACAGCAAGGAAGCTGAGCAGCAAGAAAGATGTGAGCTGAGCTGGAATCTTCGTATTTGTTTCGCAGGAACCTTTGCAACATACCACTTCTCACAGCTCTAAAGACCGTTTTTGTGAAGTCCGCTAAATCAGTAAGGCGTACATTGTGATCAGCTAGCATCTGCCTCCTCGGTTGCTGTTGCAGAAGCTGTTACCAGCTTTACTAGCTGTGCGGCGTTGGGACGGGTCAGGACTCCGTGCACGGCAGGGATGGCGAGGCCTCTGTTTTCAAAAAGGACATATTCAATGTTGCCCCGGTCGAGACGATGCAATAGATCGCACAATTCATATTTTGCTTTGCTGACAAATTGCGCTTTGTTTCTGCCAAGAGCAATTATTTGTGCCAGCATCACTTGCATCAGCTTCTTGCAGTTTGGACACTTGCCTTCTCAGAGCATTTGCAACGAGGCGGTGGAGGTTGACGTCACCTGTTGCCCCGCGGTTGAGTTCAAATGGGACAACGTTGACTCGGGAACAGACATTCAAAGGGTGACTTGCCTGCGGAGAAGTGCCATGATCAGCCTTAACCCGCGTTGAAGCTCAAGGCCACATGTTCCCACTTGCGTTAACATTAATCGGCTCCGCACAACGACCGGCCTGGAAAGAGCCGAGGAAGTGAACGTGACGTTCTTGAATGTGGCGCTACTTGTCTTCCTTCAGCCACAGCAAGGGCCTAGTTGGTCCGGTGGAACTTATCAGAGCTTCACTCTCCGTACCTGGCTTCATATGGCTGCCTGCTGTCCTGGCATGCAGTTTGCGTGGACGCCTCCTGCTACGTAAGGTTTCCGAATCCCCCTTTCGCAATCTCCATGGACGTTCCCGCGGCACCATCCTTAGCACCAACTCACCCCAGCCCTTGAGCGACTCTGTGGGTCAGCATGAGCAAGCCTGAAGCTGAGGCGTCCCCGTATGATTATCTTCTTTTTGCTGCTGAGTGGCTTAAATTGCAATACGTACCCAATGACTTATCCGATCTGCTCTATTGGGAGAAGATTATGAGCGGCGCTGCGGCTGGTCAGCACCAAAGGCTGTTCATGTCTAGACAGTTGAACATCAGTCTTGCAAAGCCCCAGAGTGAATAGGTTGTGGAAATTCCACTGCACGGCGCTAAGATTTCAAAAGTTCTTTGCTCCGGGGTCTCTGCTGCTCCTCTGACGAACAAACAGCACTATAGGTTTCTGAGCTCATGAGTGCCCCGGCTTGCGCCGCCAAGAAGCTAAACTGCCGTGGGACGGGTGACCAAACGGCCAGGTTACACATGTGCGTGCAGTTGGCCGTAAGTCTGCACCTGCTTGGTCGCTAAGGATATAGAGATTATGAGGATTTATGCGGCAAAGAAAACGGAAACTCGTGTTACGGTTTGGGGCTTGGGGTTTAGGCTGTCCCAAAATTGGTGGTCCCTTTCGAAGGTCCCGTCATAAGGGTTATACTATTTGGGTCTACATAAAAGTCCATCTATTTATGGAAACTGATAAGAAGGCCTGTATCTAGTTCCCCCAAATCCATGCTGGCCAAGAGAATACCGTATCATCCATCTCCGCAGGCATCAAGCCTGTCAGCAGCCATTTTGGCTAAGAGAATGAGCTTCATGTACAGCCACGTTCAGTTCCAGGCGTCCGTGCGGTCAAGACACAAACTTCCAGCTACAGACGTCCAAGTCACCCTGCACCAAAGCTGGTCAAGGTTTTTTCTGTGACCTTCTGCTGTCACAACACCTCATGTTCTGATCATGTCCTTCTGCACCAGTTTTGGCTCTGCTAATGCTGTGCTCTCGACTTTCTTCATAGATTGCTGGTTAGATTCACCGCATTGCGCTGCAGTTGCGCCCGAGAACGAATCAAAAAAACAGTGGTATCTCCGGTTGCCCGAAGCAAATCATTCAACAATCGCAGTTCCCATGATTTCCTAGCACGGTTGTAGCCTACAGGTGGTCCAGCAAAATCTGGCAGTGGCACGAAGCTACGTGTAGAGGAGCTAAGCCTCTTTCGGAAGGGCCACAACTTTCGGGCGCACAAAAATTCCTTGATGAGGGCTTTTTCTCCTTGGTCCATTGGTGGGGACATGGAAGCCACCTTCGCTTCTTATGCAGGCCTTTTTTGACTGCATACACGTGGAGCTGGCTAAGGTGTCTGGGGACGATGGGGACGATGGTAAGAATGATGACGATATTCCTATGGATTTCGCCCAAGCTCAAAGTATTTGGATAAAGCGGAAGAACGAAGGGACTCAACGCAGAGCGAACTACTTGTTCCGAGCCCTGGCAGCAGGCAGTCAAGTGCGATTTTTCAGGCATTCTTTGCACCCGCAATTCTGAAGCTTTGTCAAGCTCTTGAGTTGAACCTGTAATGAGACAGGAGTGGCAGACGAGCAAAGGATCTATGAGGGTAAGTTTCCGATACCGTCTGCATCCAGTTCTACAACTCCAGCCCCAGGGCAGCGGGGCAATGCAAGTGCGAAGGCAGTCTGCGTCTTTCAGTTTTGTTTATGAGGTCCTGCAGTGGAAGCGAGCTCCCAGACCCTCTACTTGTTGTACAATTTAATGCGCATGATTTACTTCCAAACGAAGGAATACTCATAGTTTGTCTGGACTCCTCATCAAGCTTGTCAAAGATTCCCTGGCAAAAGTCCCGTTCGCAATGTTATGTGCCTGTCTTTTGCTTCTTGATGCCTGAAGCCACTCCGCGCGCTTGACGTGTTGCGTTGGGAATCCGTGCGCTATCACCCACTTTGCTTTTGCAGTATCTCAGCCTGGGGGGCTGAACAAAGCGCCGACAATGCTTCGGAAATTGTTCGAGACAAGACAACCCAATCCGTCGCCATCACGATTCTTGTAGAGTGATGGTGCGGAAGCAAACAGCAAAAATCCTTTCCCGGTTGACCCTCTATTAGCCGACTGCACATCACAACATATCACGAGAATTTCAAGTGTGGTCACCAAAGTTAGTCGAATGGCAGATGCTACATGTGATTCGCCCCTGCCAGGTTAGGCCACCTGACAATTATGCCCACACGTATACAGTGGGACCGCTTTGCATCTGGCAATCTTCCCTCTCGGATGAACAGCTCACTGAGGCAGCCTAGCAACAGAAATGTGGTAGGGAGGCTGCGGAAGTTTTGAACCGTCGATGGCACTTAAATCTGCAATGCAATTCAGAGGGATGATTCCATCAGAACATGTTGTATCCACTCCCGGTAGGCTCAGACTGTCCTCCACTATGTCACTATATAATCACGAAAATACAGTGATTTCCATTTTCCATTCCCTAATTCATCTATATCTAATCCCTGTATCGGCGAATGCTGTGCGCGGGGCAGTATTCGAAATGTAGCATAGATTCGCCCTACCACGGGCAGTCTTGTTTTCTTCAGGAGAACGCCGCCGGGCACTGCACCAGACTTGCGGGAACCACTGGAAACTGCTTAGCCGCAGCTACCACAACAAGTACAACCAAAAGTATGACGACAAGCATTACGAGAAGCACCACCGCAAGTGCCACCACAAGCACGACGACGACAATGACTGCCGCTCGGTCTGTTTTCGCCACACGCTCCGTGTAGGTGCTGCCACAATCAGGAAGTTGTACCCAAATCCTTCGCAGGCATCAACGACCTTTAGTATTAGTTCGTCCTCCACGACAACGGCTTCCACGACAACGTCTTCCACGACAACGTGGAAACTGATCTCATGTTACAGTGTGCTCAGTTCGCCGTGGAGCATTCGGTGCAGGTTCAGTTGCGGCGTATCACATCTTGGTGCTCGGTCAGGGAGGTTTGCGGCATGGGTATGTGGCCTTGCATAGGGTTCAGCCAGATTGAATGTGCACCAACCAATCCCACATTGGTGTAGCTCCGAACTGTTCTTCTCATATCGATCTTTTGAGTAGACTACATCGTATCTCTCACATCCTGCAGACGGAAACAAAGCACGAGTTCTGCTTCTTTCGGATCATTTTGGCTCAAGACAATCCCGCACCATGAGGTGCATGGTAGTGAACCGTGTACATGGAGGATAGAAGCATGGATGTGGATGGCTGTGAAGCCTGGCCAGAGGAGCTGGGTGAGTCCGTATTTCTGCAGCTGTCCCTCCAGCCTGACCTGCAGGGCTTAGACTTTGGGGCACATGCAAGGGGCATTCAATTCGGATTTATTGGGTCCCTGGTTTCGCAAGTCCTGATCGTGAGCTGCTTCGCAGTGATCTTCTTCCTCGGCTTCCGGGCTCGCAGAGCGGGTCTGAGACCAGACTGGTCTCAAAGCTCCAAGCAATCAGAAGGTCTGCCAATGCATGTGCTGGTGTTGCTAGGCTTGACAATGGGCTTAGACTTCTTCTGCACAGACCAGTACCAGCCGAGCATGTTGGCCATATCGAGCGACTTCGCAGTGTCTCATGAAGCCATAGCCTCCACCATCCAGATCCACCAGCTGAGCTATGCTGTGGCGATGCTTGGTGCTGGACGTTGGCTCCATCTGCTGGGCTTGCGGCAGATGATCTTGATGTGCCAGCTATTCTTTGCCGCCAGCACGCTAGGCTGTGCATTCGCACCATCCTTTGCGTGGTTTGTAGCAGGACGCGTGCTCCAAGGGATTGCTGCATCTTGCAGCGTGGGCGTCTCAGCGATGCTGAGTGCCTGGTACAGTGACAGAAATGACATGAGGCGAGCAGCCAATATCATTTCGTGTATAGCTCTTCTGGGGCACATTGCCGGCCCTGCATCAGGGGGGCTTCTTGCCGGAATAGCTGGTTGGCGAGCAGCTTTCTTGGCCGTCTTTGGTCTCGTTATCCTTATGCTCCTTGCAAACTACCTGCTGCTTCCGGAAAGTGCTGCATTGAATTCACATCAGGAGACGCAGGATGTAGCCAGCAAGCCGCAAAGTACCGGCACAATGGTACAGCAGACCTTCGTACTTCTTGGACTCAGCCTCTTGCGGGGGAGCTCATACGCACCTGGTAAGCAAAGGGATGTTCTCAGAGCAGCACAGACTCATGTATCTCAATTATCCTTTTGGCACTTGCATGAACATGAGATCAGGTACTGCTGGCCGTGAACTGTTTCATCTTCGAGGGCTACTACGGCTTGAGCACTTGGGCTGTTCCTGAGCATACAGCTGGAGTGTTGTTATGTTTTAGCATTCTTGGACAGCAGCTTCTTCCCGAAGGCTGCGTCAATAGATTACGCTCAGCTTATCAACGACGCTACTGCTAGTCATAAGAGGAGGACGGAAGCAATGTTGTTGTAAGTCATGCCAAAAGAAGCACAAAGGCATCAAGCCTGCCAAAGGCACACAGGAATGCCAGTCTGTGAAGTACACAGGGCAACTCTGACAACAGCGATAGTCATAAAGAAGGTCCCCGCCCTTAGCAGAGACATTGAAACAGCAGCAACTGAGCTAATGAAGGCTTCCCTCCTCATGTCCATCCTGGTTGCTGCGGGGGCCTTTGGTATGGCGGCGTCCACGACGCTGGCATTTTCTCCCACGGAGGCTCTGGGGAGATGTAGCAAGGGAGGCAGCGCCCAAACATCCTCTTCCAGTCTATCCGCAGCAAACTGACTATGCAGATGATCTAAGGCATTCTGATACAAGATGATACAAGGATGGCTTCAAGCTTCATGAAAGACTTAGTCCCGTTTCGTGCCAGCTCCCTGGCAGGCTCTGAACCTCTTCTCACCATTTCTCTTGCTGTCTGCTGGCTATGCTGCGGTCGTGGCTTCTGCGCTGATCGGGAGCAACCCGCTCACATACATGTCTGGATTGGCCTTGCACCAGTTTTTGGCGCATGGGCCTACATGGGCAGTATTGGCAGAAGCTGACTCCGAGCTTGACGATGCTGCCGGCTTGCCTCCGCACATCTACGCGGGGATCATGAACATTCTTGCCGCCGCAGTCTCCCTTTTTGGGCTCCCTGCCATTCGGGGTGGCCCTTCAGCTGTGCTGTATGTGCTGGCTGTTATGGCTGCCGCATCGCAATTGTTCATCCGCGCTGGAAGTTTATGGCGTGCTGCCAAGAAGCTTTCCCGGCCTTTTTCAGGGACCACTGATTGAAGCCTTCCCCAGATGGGTGACTGCCAGCTGGACGTGCAGACTGCAAGAATGCGCAGCAGGTCAAAAGTGCACGTAGCTCTGCCATGATGCGCGCGCAACCCTCTGTTGGGCTAGTGTTTGGTATACTCCAGGTGTCTGCCGGTTCCCGAGTCAGCAGTTCTTCTCAGCGTGCCGTCATGAATGGATTAGCTCAGGATAGGCCAATCTTCATCGACTTCTTCAACAACGATGTCGTCCACGTCTTCATCATCGTCTCAGTCATCGTCTTCGTCAACGTCCCCATCAGCTTCTTCATCGACGTCTGTGTCAACGTCATCGTCAACATCTTTGTCAACCTCCTCGTCAACGTCTTTGTCAACATCTTGGTCAACGTCTTCGACATCTACCTCGACTACCACCACGGCATCAACAACTTTGTCCAGTTCTTCCACAGCTACCACCACCTTTACCGCTACATGGACTTCTTCTTCTACAAGGTCCTCGTCGTCAACTGTTTCGAGTACGACTTCAAGCACAGGTGGGTTCTTTCAGGGAGGAAAGCCAGGGGGTCCTGGGTTGGAGCAAGTCTGCACAAGGCAGGCATATGCATTGCTCATGCCCGCATATTTTAGCAGCAAGTTGAAGCCTTCCAAGCTGAAGCTTTTTTTTGACTATTGACTGCTCCTGTTGACAGGCTCTACATCATCGACCAGCACGTCTGAAACGACGTTGACACAGACGACGACCATATCCTCAAGTCTGACGGTGTCGTTGACCTCCAGCACAACTGTGACTGCCAGTTCCACTAGCACAACGCAGACACAGACCAGCACAGAAACTAGAACGTTGAGCAGCACTATGACCAGCACCACAGCAACGTCGACGTCACAGACCACCCTGACGCTCACAACCACGAGCTTCACGGCGAGGATCTTACAGCCTGGAAATCAGATGTCACGTGTGTGAAGAGATCTGGCAAACTTCTCAGGCGACAATGGTCGATGCTTCAGCCCCCCAGACGCAAAGCGAGCCCAGTAATATCTTCTCTCGTGAGGCCAATGCCCACCTCAGGGATCCCAAAAGGTTGCGATCATCAGTCAGTCACACCACTTGCAATCCCATTTCAAGCTGCCCCCGCTTGAACTTCTTGAATCGAGGCTCTGCAGGATGCAGGGGCCTGGGGCTGAGCAGATCTGCCATGTTGAGCTGGTAGTCTCACGCTTTGTGTGACAGACAGTTCTCAAGAACGACAGCAGTAGCTTCAACAAGTGAGATGAGGTCAACGCCTCCCTGGCTGCAGCGGCCTCTGCCTTGGACGGCCTCGCGCAGGAAAAGAAGGCGGTTGCCAAGAACTTGTCTCCTGGCAGAGGATATCAGCAGCCCTCAAAGCAGTTCGCCAAAGTCCACGTGTCCACCAATCGGCTCAGGCTTGCTTCAGCTACGGAACTCCTCGCCAATGCTAGTGGCAGGGTTGTGGAGCAGGAGGTGGTGACGTCGAGCGGGGTCGTCTGACTTGATCATCGGCCGGTTGCAGTGGATGTTCCAAATCCAATCCGAGTTCCGAGTTATTCTTTATACAATGTTCAAGACATCTTGCTGTGCAGCTGAGGCCGTCATGAAAGTTGCAGTCTTCCAACCGGCAGCCAACAGCACGGAGGATGTTGCCGTTGCAGGTGAAGGCGAGGTCTGCTCAGCAACGCCGTGGATTGCTTTGGATTGCTCGTGGTAGAAGGCTTCAAGGCCTACGGCCTGTGTCTGTGGAGACCAGCCCTTGTCTTATTGGAGGCGGTGTCCAAGTCAAGGTCCCTCCAAAGGTGCTCGAGCAGTCCCTCAGCTTGCATCCAGTTCTGGTGAGCGTTTAGACTTATAGACTAACAATTTGAAAAGTGGAAAATCAGCGGATTCGAGCGTGAATGATTCTTGATCGAACTCCTACAAGTATTTGCGGAGGTATCATGTTCCCTGAGGCTTGCTGGCAAGTTGGCAGGTCCAGTGGCGCTATCGCTGGGATCCTATGTAGCACGCAGAGCGAATGCTAAGATGTGGTCTGGGCTGGGGATTTTTTGTTTGAGTCGGGCTGATAAAATTGTTGTGTAGCCACCTGGGCAGACAAGGGTGCATGTACGCCTGCTTGCCATTTTCTCAGCAGCTCTGCTTCTGGGCTCGGGAAGACGTTATTGTTCATGGAGCTTGAGGCATCAAGTCAGAGATGCGGTTCTCAAGTTCTGTGGTGAGTATACTCCCAAGATGTACAAGCCAAACCTGAACTCATAATAGTCTCATTCGTCGGCCCTTTGCAAGGAAACGTGCCAAACAACACGAAGGAGATCTTGGAGTCGGTGACAAGCGTCTGCCTTACGCCTGCAGCACATGTGACATCATGTGACCTATGGGATGAAGCTCAGTTTCCCGTTCAGAGACAAGGCCAGCAGTCAGGCGACTCCGAGGCACCAACCTTGACATCAGAGCCCTTGGCCGTCACGCTGCAGCTCTTCCTGCATCTAGTTACCTAGAGCTCTCTTGAACTAAGAGCCGGTCAAGAACACGAAGCTGGAACGCCAGGCCTCAGTCCCCAAGCTGAGTAAGTCATCCCTCCCGAGAGTCAAGGTACGACGCCGAAGGCAACGAGCTGACCAATGTCACCTTCGAGGAGCCCATGCAGCTGATCCTGCAGGGGACAGCCTCAACAGAGGCTGCAAACTATGCACTTGCTATTGCAGCTATTAGTTACTAGTGGGGCATTGCCACGCTTTCAGGGCTTTGATGGGATGTGCTTTCTAAGCCTGGGGCAGGCCATGTCGAAGAAAGAGGAACCTGCTGTCTGCCGCAGTGTTTTGCTAAAGCTGCGGCAGGCCGTCTGCGTCTTCTGGGATGAAAACCTTGCAGCCTGGTCCAGAGAAGGCGTGGAGCGTGTGCCTTCGGACACTTCGAAGCTGGGCTCAAAGAGAGCTGCAGGCGCAAAATGCTAAAATGCTAGCTTTCGGGTAGTCGTCAATGCTAGGATCCTCTTCATTCCTCCCAGCATGCAATCAGCATTCCCAGTGATCCTCTTAAAGAGATCCGGAGTTGTCAAGCAGTTCCAAACCCTAATCTTGAATCTAACACCCCAATCCGGCGCTAAGGTGACTGAACATGTTTAGAAGCATTCAAGTTTATCATCATCGTTTCATTCAGGCAGCTGATCTGCAGCACCACACACCTAAGCGTCTTTGCTGCGATCATCCAGGCCATTGAGGACTGAGCCGTCCGGCTTTCAGATGATAGGGTTCACGCAGTTCTGGGGTTGAGCGTGGTGTTGCAACCGGATTTCTTGGACAAGAAGTCATTTTCATGGCGGACTTGATTTGAATTCACGTTCGAGAATGGGACTCTTCATCTGTGACGGCTTTTAGTTGCCGTCTGGCGTGTGGATCGCTCGGTAGGCGTAGTGGGGCAACACCATAAAGCCGTGGAGAGGACACCTTGGTCTGCAGCTCTGCTGCTGCCATCTTTTCCGCCGAAGGCTTCAAGTCCCTCTCTACAGGCCGTTGGTCATCCTTGTTGCACTTGGGTCTCGCAGGACTGTAGATGCTTGCAGAGCTTATTTCCACAACTCACATACAGAGCAGTCTCAAGTTGATAGCTGGGCTCTAGGCCAATGTCGTTGTGACCCTGACCTCCTCGCCCTTGTGAGGTGACTGGTGGAGCCACTTCCCCGCCATGGTGCTACTAAGCTGAAGGTGTGATGTCTGTGGTTCGAACTTGGGAGGCTTCAGGGAACTGCCGTGATTTGCAGGCCCACGCCCAAAGACTTCGGCACTGGTTGACTTTTGAGGCGTTTTTTTTTTGCAGGCGCAGAAGACATTAACGCAAACTCAATCAGCAGCCGTTTTAATTGTTACAAATTTCACAGCGGTACTCCTTAATGGGTACTGCCCGATAACAGTGTGCATCAGGAACTGGATGTCTCTGATTCTGGGGGGCGTGATTCTTTGCCTGGCGCACCGCTTCGACAAAATGCATTCCGAGATCATCCACGCATTGGAAACGACCGAGGAGGCTGGAAAACGGAGGGCTTCCCAGAGAAAAGATTACGGCAACATATCACTTCTGATGCTTAACACTGTCTTTGCCACCACGTCTGCTGCACAGGCGGTTGAGGGCGCGGCTGAGGCAGAAACAGAGACAATGGTGGAAGAAGTGACGCAAGAGGTGCTTCGTGTTTGTTCTTTAGCCCACTCACTGCATTAGGAAGGTTTTTGGAGGGAAGGCTGCTGCTTGCATGGAAGGTGGCCCAAAACTCGGAGCCCGCTTCAGAGATCATGAAGGAACCTGATCGCCACGGAAGCAAAAAGACGTGCTTCAGCTGGTTCTGGCAATGGTTCGCTCGGTGGACCATCTACCAGGCCACGGTTTGGGGCTCATGAAGGTTTGCAAGATGATTTCAAGGGTGTGATGCAGAACCAGGCACTTATTTTGCCTATAAACACCATGCGTGATGCTGTCTATTGCCTTGACTATGGATTCACGAAGGCCGACGCTGGCAGTTGTAACCAGACCAGATCTCCCTCAATAATGCCAAGAAGCAACCTCATCATTGCAGTAACATTCATAAGGTTGGGATTGCATTATATGATAATCTCTGGCTGGTAAATTTTGCCCCGGTGTGCTGCAAATGTAAAGATGTCGGCTTCAGTTGGCACAAGCCTACAAGAATAAAAGGTCGATGCTAAAGCAATGAGGTCGACAACATGGAAACAGGATAAGCGACAAAACGTATGATAACAACATTCAGGATAAAGCAACGGGAAGCGGGTTTTCATATTCCGGGTGGGCAGTTCTGCTATGAAGCGCCTGTGCCTGTATCAACATTGTCCACGGATTCGGCAATAGCAGCCTTAAGCACCAAGTCCTACATCATACGGGGGTTTTCATAAACACGGGCCCCTATGTTTACACAGTATACATCTAGTACCTTCTGAATTTTAGGGACGCACCAAAATGCACACCTAATTCAATTCTTGAAACCCACCATATTTGACTTCACTTGTTGTTCGGAGGTTCTTTTCGCCTTTGTTGGCGCCGACCACAAGCAGCTGCACAGAAGCTTCGGTGAGACGGGCCTGACCAAAGCGCCTCCTGGCCGCCGCTAAGGATGCGGGTCTAGGGTTTAGGGTTAAGGGCTTAGGGCATGTTGCGTTGTGGGGTCCCAAGAACCAGGATTATAGTTTGTTGCGATCTATATTGGGCGTAATTCTAGAAGGGCTCCTCGTAATCCTGCACAATTCCAAGAGATACCTGCATCTTCCACAGATCCAAAACCTTAAGTTGTTTCAGAGCCTCCCAAATTGGTATTAACTGGAGAAGAGATGCTCGTGCAGAAGACATCTTTCTTTAGGAAGCTTAACTTAAAGGGGGTTAGTAGGGAACAAGGGAAGATGTTCCCTATATAATCCCCGTATATTCACTTATCCCATGCTACTCCTCTGAATGACATCGATTTTGTTTTTTCCTTTTTGCATAGGAATTCGCATAAATTGTATCTGTAAGCTGACTGCAAGGTTTGGTTTTGGCTCTGGAACTTGGGTACCAATGTGCCACCCAAAGAGAGATGCCTTGATCCGCACCATCCAATTGCAACCAGCTGCCGTAGGATGTTCAGTTGTGTAAGGCTGTGCCCGAAACCTTCAAACCCTACACCCTAAACCCTAGGCTGACACTGCCTTGACCTGGCTCCCCTGCTTTTGCCCACTTCAGGCATGAGCTCGCGCAGGACACCGCGACCACAGCTGTTCACGGGTCGGCGTGGTGGAGAATGCTTATGTGGCTTGGCTGTCTTGGATCTCGAATCGCAAGCTGCGCGTGCTGTGCGTGCCTGAACATCAGGGAAGCATCAGCTTACTGTTGCAACTGCTTTTTGTACTGAGGTTCTTCAAAGTCTGGAATGAGCTCAGGACTCAGTCGTCCCGATGAAGCGTGTGTGAGATTGCGCAGTCGATTCACAAGTGCAAGAGATCTTGCGTTTGTAGGTGGCTGGCTTTTACTCTGCCGGATCTTGGTACCACCTGCAGGCCAGGACCTGAGCTGTGGTGACCGGAGCAAGCACTGAATGTGGTAAAATCTTGTCCGTTTCGCGGCATGATTCGGGATAGGAATTGCGTAACTCGCACCTCGCTTTGCATTGATGGTGAAGTCTGCATGTGAAGGAGAATAATGCTGGCATTCACACATTGGTGTGGCGGAGCCGTCATCAAGCGATTCAATGCGAAAGAGCTGTCAATCCCTGGCCTTGAGGCAGCGGAGCATGGCTGTCATAGCCAGGCTGCTTGGATGCTGGGCCCAGGCCCCAGTTACACAAGGGCCCAGATTGACAAATGTGGAAGTTCTGGCGAGTTGGCTCTGCTTATGCATTGCTTTTCAGAGTATGATTCTTACTGCTACTACGTGTACCGTCATGATTGTAGTTACCAATAATACAGTTACGTGGGTTGCGTTCAGCATGCAGCCGAGGCCACAGCGGCAGTCTTTTATAACTCGACAGCACGGGGCAATAGCACCGACATCGATCCGAAATGCACGCGCGAGGCATGCGAAATATTCAAAGGTCCATTCAGTTTCGGTAATGCTCAGTTTTTGTTGGCCCTTAGACAGCAGGCTTTCCTTGCGAATCCCCTGCGCTACGCTGTGCGCGCCGTCGTGGCTGCGATCTCGGAGTTGTTTGAGTTTTAGGCTTAGGGTGTTTGTGCTTGTCTTCCTGTGCTGCTCTTTCTTGTGATGCAGGGTTGGATGAAGTTTAGTTCTGCGCTTCGTTGACATCCCGCCAAAAGGTGGAAAGTGAGGAATTATGCGGCAGCTGCCTGTTCAAGTTTGTGCGAGACCGTATATCTTGAGCAAATGTCGCAGAAATTTTGAGGTGCCCTTCAATTTGAGGTCGGACTCATCAGCCTTGTCGTGGGGTCGATTCCTATTGCAGCGCTTCTGGCTCTTGCAAGAAGCTTGGATGCTTTAAGCAAAACATGTAAGGCCCTATCTTTGATTCCTAATACTGTCCCTTAACTACCCCAGGGTGGCATAAGATTTCCTCCATGAACAGCAGCCAGCATCATTATCTTGGGGGTCAGTGGCAGCCAGGAGCTCGCAGGAACGATCAGCGAAAGATGCTGAAGGGGTTCGTGTACTGGGCATTCATTCGTGCCTTGGCTTTCTTTCTTGTGCCAGAGTGACTGCAGTGAGCAAAAGAACTCCTGACAGGAGCTTCCGAGCATTAGGCAACGTAGGGCATAAAGTGCAGTTTGCCGCTAAACCCTAAACCCACCCTCAACCCTAAACCCTTGCTCTAAGTCTCTTATTGCATCTTCTGCGACCTGGTCCTCTGCATTTTCCTGGCACAAGTGAGCCGATTGGATGCTGAGTGCCCTGGCCACAGCTTCCGGATTCCAGCATGGTGCAACGTTATAATGGGTTTAGGGTTTAGGGTTTAGGGTATGGGTAATATTGGGGTTATATTGGGGATATAGGGATAATGGAAAGTAAAATGGAAACTACTAAAAGGGTTATATATGGGTTATAAAAGGTAGCTGGCCAGCCACAAGTCTAAGGTTAGAAGTATGGGCCCGAACGGATAGGGTATATAGTAGGTATACAAGGATCCCAGGGTTAAGGCCCATACTGGGGGCCCATGGTTCGAACCTTAGAACAATGGCAGAAAAGAGTCGTCCGGCTGCAGCACTAGACTTGAGGCTTGTGAGATATGCTGAAGCGACTGGCTGTTGACATGGGAGTTTCTCAACACTAGCTCCGCGTAATCCTCGGTGCTCAGGGGACGGGGCCCAACAATCCCCCTATCATCCCTAACATCCCCAAGGGTCCTGAAGCGCAGCACCCGCACAAGGATCTGGGCAACTTCTGGCCTGAACCTTGCCTTGCATTGGCAGATCTGTGCATGTCCTAATTCAATTCAAAGAGGTGTCTCTGAATGATGATATGACATTGGATAGGCCATGACGTGGCATCTCATCATTCCTGTTTTGAGTAAGATGCCTACAACCAGAAAGGCGTCGCTCTCAACATTGTAACTTGTCCTTGCGACGGTGAGGACAAGCTTTCTTAGCAGCTTGGCCGTGTTCCCGATTCTCATGACCCTTCTGGTTTCGCCAGCGCTGCTTTGGCTTTCTTTCAACAAGGAAGCCGCCTCGCAGATGACGCTGAGCTGGATCAGTCAACTACAAGTCAGCATTCCTGTATTCTCTGTGCCGCTCAGAATCCCTGGCCAGTTGTTAAACTGATTGTGCTTCCAGAAGCTCGCTACAGCCCCTGTCTATATCCGACGCAGTTAGGCCCCGAAGATTGGATGTCATCTTGACATTTCACAGGTCTTTTCGATGCTCCTGCGCATTCTCAGGAACCCAAATAAAGTGTCATGAGCCTGAGGGCTAAGCATCATCATTGCGCCCGCTGCTTACTTACTGCTTGCCAGTACGGACTGCAGAAATGGATCCTGCAACAATCCCTGAAGAATCCCGACGACATAGCAACAGAGTAGCTTCCATTTTCTGTTCCATTCCTCCATTACTGGAAGCCCAGGTATTCCGAAATTTGCCCATGGCTGGAACAGAAGGAAAGAAGAGTTTCATGGCTGGCCCTTCTGCCAGGCGGAGGCAGCGTGAAGTCAACGACTTACTGGTTGCTAGTAGGGAATGAAGGAATACAAAGCAAATGGATACTACCATAAAAAACGGGGATTATGATGACGCTTTGGGTTTAAGGTTTGGGGTAGAGAGGGTCTACTATGGGGGTCCATTCCACGTTTCCCGACTTAAAGCCAGCAAGGCATGCGATGGTGTAGGGGCTTCAGCTGATTCTGGAATATGGTCTCAAACGGGATGATTTGGGGACTATAAAGAGGTTCTATTTATCGATTATAACCGGTTGTGTAGGGATGATGCAGGGATTCTTTGGGGTTATAAAGGAAGTGTACAGTCCAGGTTCTGTCTTTGAAGCGTTTAGAAGGTCAGGGCCAGGGTACGACACTGAAGTCCAAGGAAACAGCGCCAAACGGAATTTAAAGCTTCTTTCAGTCTTTTGAGAATAGGGCCGCTGTTTGTGAGGTTCACGAGAGGGCATGTCCCTTGAATCCTTAGAGCATCCTATAACATGTTGACATTGCACCTACATGATCTATATAAGGCTCCATCCTCCTGATTCCACAAGTCCCCGGATAACAGAAGGCCCATCGTTGGCTGCTGCCGCACCTGCGACCCGAAGTTCAGTGAACTCCGTGACAGCGATGCCTCTCGGATGAGTGGTGTTGCTGTAGGCCTAATCCGACAGTCGTCTTACCCCTTCAGCAATGGAGAACCACATGGAACATCTAACGAAACATTACACGAAAATGAGGGGACTTTGGGTGTTAGTAGAATGATGAGGGTTCACTTTGAATCAAGATTGAGATGTTGTGATGCGCAAAAGTGGTCTGCCTTTCATTCTCTCGACTTTGCATGCTGTCAGTCACCCTTAGCGGCCGTCAAGCGGAAGTCTCGAAAACATGGCAGGACGTCATCTCGGCATGTGGCTCATGACTTTTTGAGCCTGTGGCCCCATCTTGAAGCATCTCAATACTCAGCTCCAGGTTCGCGCACGCACAGCAGGCTGCCGCGTTGGGCATTGTGACTGTCCACATGGAGGAAGATTTAGCCGTGAGCGATTTCCACGAGGAGCCGTTCAGCATGGCTCCTGCTTGGACTCCTTTCCTGCTTTGTAGCTATTCGAAACATTGTGAAAGCTCCAATAGGTAGGTCCATAAACTATTGTCTCCTGGTTCCATCCCACATAGACCATGATGCTTACTTTGGGGATCCCGAGGCAGGGACCCATCATTTGCCGAAACCCTCCCAACATTCGCAATCCAGGAGGAGCCAGCCCGGGTTCATGCGGTTGCGCGCGGTCAGGCCGAGACTCACTGTAGACATTTCCCAAAAAGAGTTGTTCCTGAAAAGACTTGGGACATATTTGGTGAAAACAAGAGGATAATGGGGGCCGTTTGAAGGATTGGATGGGGCTAACTTTGAGAACTACGCATGTGAGGAGCTGAGCATGTAGGGTCAGCAAGGGTAATATCGAAGATCAGCATGGGGCTCTTGCTAGCACGGTCTCGAAGTTTGAGATCTACTAGGCAGAGACACTTCACGTAGACGAGCATAATTAGATTGCTTTCCGGCTTTAGCCCTAGAATCCCGATGTAACCCCTATATAATGTATATACAACCCCCACATAATCTGTATAATCCTATTTAGGAGTGTGAACGCAGGCCAAACAACCGCAGGTTATGCCGACAGCTCAGCTGCTGACCAAGTATAGGGATATGTAGGGACATAAACGCGTACATAGGGAGACATAGGGATTAGGTACCTATCTTACACAAATCGGGAAAATGGAAAAGAACATGGAAACTACTATTTAGGGTTTATGGATCTTATCCCAATAATGTAGAATAACGTGGAAAAGAATATGCAACATTGATGATGAAATGGAGGTGGGGTCATATAGGGCTGGACCCCAATCCAGAGTCCTGTCCAAATTTACTTGCATGGTGAGTCAGACTTCTATCCGCCCCCAAATGGGAGTTTCCTAACGTGGGTTCCCCAATATAGACTCAAATCCATTGTAATCCTTGTAGGGACTACCAAAAAGGGACCCCTAATTCCCGCAAACCTCCCATTTGCCAAGGTCTCAGCAAGCTCCGGTGCACAGCAGCCGAGATGCTCCTTGTCGGCGCAAGTTTCATAGCAAGCTGCTCATTATACAGGGGTTTGGCTTTATGAGGGTTGTAAAGGGCGTGAGTTATATAATAAGGATTTGGATTCGGATCCTCCAAAACGGAACATCAAATGGAAAAGAGAATGAAAACCGACATGGAAGCTGGCTTCACGTGCTTGTGGCGCCTTCATGTGAATCGGTCTTGGTAACTCCTGTTCATTCTAATACACCCAAAAACGCCGTCCAATTCGAACCGGCCGGAAATTTCCGTCTGTTTCTCAGCTTCTGAAGAGATCGGCTGAGCTACTCAGGTGCAGCACATGTCCCAGGTTCTACCCAACCAGGCTGGTGTGTTTCAGGGCTGGTATTTCACAAGAAGTATCAGCGGATTCCGCCGTTCAGCACCCTGAGATTGCAGCATCTGCGGCAGGTGGAAGAGTGATCACGAGGAAGGCAATGACTTGACGTCGGCGGCCAGGAGCCACCCATGATTTGTGAACCCCTGTTTGAAAACCCTCTATGGCTCTACTACCGTTTATGCCACGGCATCTTCGTGACCGCGAAGTCCGGAACAGGGGTTGACAATCACTGGTTTTGGCGCACTCCTTCAGGAGCGCCTTACGAAATGGCATTCTGCACAGTGCACCATCCATAGGTCAATTATTTCCCATGGATCAGATGGTCCTTTTAGGGAACTACGACAACTTCTAAAACAAGACTTGTTTGGTTGTCATCGAAGAGGCAGCAGTCGCAAAACAAGCAGTCAACATGACAAATCAGTCAGTATGATAGAAACAAGAAAAGAATAATATCAATCCTACCACTAACATTCATCTTCAGAGTCAAAAAATTATCATCATCATCATCGTCGCTGTTTTCCGCACAGCTGCCGGATTTGTCAATGCCAATGAAGATGTCATGGCGCCAGTACCCAGGTGCTCCTCACGCACGAGAAATACTTTGAAAGGGGATTGGGGGTTGCAGTGCGTCAGTTGGGGAGATGGCGCTGTGATTTGCTTTTATTTACATAGTTTAATCCATACATTCTCCGCTGTCAGCGAATGTTGCAGCAGAGCCTGATTGCAAGCCTCCTGGTCTTCAGTTTTCAACGGTAATTACGGTCGCAAAAGCATCAAATTCGACCATGCTGAAGCTGCTGTCGTGGACAGAGGTTTGGCATTAATTATTTGGATTTGTGGAATTTGCGCATCCCTGGGGCAAAGCACACGGAGAGCAAGCGTTGGGCTTGTCCACCAGTGGAATGGCCTTGCGGCCTCGTCCCATGGAGATCAACGACATTTTCCACGGCTGCAGGACTTTTTTCCTTCAAGGAAGGTCCTGCAGCCGCATTACATGTCGGGCTGCAACGCCCGTTGCCGAAGGCTTCGATCAGCAGCCACACCATGCGCAGAAGACGTGAATAAAGCGGAAGTGCAGGATGTTGCTGGATGGTTGCAAGGGCCTGCGATGAGCCTACACTCCTTTCAGGTGGTGTGCAAATCCTTCGAGGAGATCTGCGAGAAGTTCACCATGCCTCAGGAGGGGCCGTCTGAATACCTTGAACCGGAGTGGTGACAATGGCATCGATTCATGAGGTTATACCAAAGGCAATCCCAATGGGCAGTACTGGAGATCCTATGCACAGCTCCCATGTGTTCCCGGAAAAATCCTGCACACCCCAAGGTTTTAAATTTTTCATCCCTTAGAAATCCCGACCTTGAACCCTCAGGCCAAAATCATACCGTGCACCAGGAGCTGGTTGAGAACATACTTGTTCGGTGCGGGCTGGGCACCCAGTGGCTACGCACAGCTTCTTCGTGCTCAACGATTTTATAGAAGCTTGCGTACCTCAATGTTTCAGACCCATACGCAAGAGACCCTCATGTACGAGTTTTTAGCAAGCATTTGGAAAATTTGAAATTGTTGGAGACAGCCTCATGACTTCTTGTCGCCGCAGAGGTATGACAAGCCGACACCAGCCCATAGCCCAGCCTTGTATTCCTTCAGCTGTAGAAATGGCGTGTTTGAACAGACTGGCTGCCTAACATACTATGCGTAGAAAAGAAACACCGTGAAACATGGAGATGGTCATATAGTCTTCATTTGATTGCTACATAGTACTTTACGCATAATCCCCATATCCCATGATTTGTATACTCAGCTCCTGCCTGAACAACGCAAAAACACTAGGCCCAGAAGCATGCTGTGCCTGCAGCGCTGGCGGGGAATGATGTGATGGTGCTGCCGCATAGTTACTGTTTCAGTGGCGAGCAACCCTTTCTTCAAAGTGGGCCGTCACACAATCAGCGGTGCTACTTACGAACAATTGGTTGTGGTCATGCTTACCAGGGTTGTGAGTGTCATGATTTCTGTTTTTCATTCTCACAACTAGGGTGTTGATAGAGATGGGGCAACCATCTCCTTCCCTTCAATAACAATGCCAGGTCGCAGCGCAGACAGGCAGCGGCAAAACTGCTGCTTTCCTCATTCCGCTAATTGTCCGTCTCCAAGAAATAGCAAAGCTCGTAGACATGATACAGGTGTTTACACGGAATTCACACCACCTAGACGTGCGTTTAAAGTTGAGCAGGAACCACAATGTGAAGTGGCGAGCACATGAAAGCAAAGGCGGAGACCTTGATTGCTGGCGCACACCAGTTGGAAGAAGGTCCCATTCGTCCAACAGCGTTCCATGCTCGGCTGTTGGCTTTCAGCCACTGATCATTAACCATACAGTTCATGGGACCTTTGATTTGCTCTTCCACTGTTTTGCAGGGTGGTTTTGGCTCCAACTCGGGAGCTTTGCCAGCAGATCACTCTGGAAGCCCGCAAGCTGTGCTTCAGGACTTCTGGAATTCAGGGATCTGATGCAACACATGTATCACAGCATCTTTGGAAGGACCATTGCACGTGCTGTCGCAATCTATGGTGGAGCAGACGCATTGCCGCAGTTGAAGGCAGGATGTTTGAATTGGTCGTACTTTCCAAGAAAGAGCGCTACTTCAGCAGATCATGACGTTGATATTGGTACCGAATCATCAGGACAGAGATAGATGGAGATTCCATGCAACCACCTGCTGTGGATGCAAGGCATTGGCAGAGGGTGCCGAGATTGTCATCTGTACGCCAGGTCGACTCGAGGATCTCCTGTGACCAGAGGGGAGATTTTAGCGGGAATATGTTGGAAGGGGCACCTTCAAATGCGATTTTCTTTTGGGCAGTATGGGCACGGATACAGCCAAGTTCCTCGAGGTCCCAAGGCAAAGCCAGGAAAGATCTCAAGAAAACAGGCCAACAAATCTCCTCGCCCAGCAAGGACTTTCTGGACCGCGGTGTGATCAGCATGACGAACGCGACGCTCTCAGCAACGTTTTCCGGTTTGAGACCTTCGAGCAGAGCCTCAGGTACGGTACCTCATCTTGGATGAGGCCCACGCATGGGTAGGAACATGATACACCTGCTTCAACAGCGTTGTGCCCAAGCTTTTCAGGCAAGAGAAGGGGATGGCGAGAGAGATTGGTGCCAGGCTGACAGGATGCTTGACATGGGCTTCGAACCACAGATCCGCTCCATCATTGAAGGTGGTCGCAGCAGACCGAAGCATCCAGTTATAGGGCTTTGGGCTTCTTTCCTGGCTTTCGGTGTCAAACCGCAGATGTAAAGCGCAGTTGCTTGCCCCCCTCAACTAAGTGTTTGGATGATGCCCTGAGTGTCTTCCAAAGTCGACTGTCAGGCCACAGCATGCCTGAGTCTGGGCATGTCCCTCGGAGCCATGCCGTATAGAGCGAGTATTTTTGACCTTGCCTGGAAACCAAGGGGTGAGGAAGGTCGGCAGACCATGATGTTCTCAGCCACCTTCCCCCGAGAAATGCAGGCCTTCTGCCATACTGCACGACCAGTTCGGAGAGTGTGTGAGTTGGAGATAGTTGGAGGGTGATGCTGCAGCTTGCCTAGCTGAAGATGAACGGACAGCAAGTACAGGTATCAGTAGTCATTTCTGAGCTGGGATGATGGAGACCGAAATGGCAAGAAGATTATGCTCTTGTGTGCAGACTCGTTTTGATGACGCTGGACACACTTGCAACACCTGATTTGGGACTTCTGCACCTTACACTTGGCATGGAGCAGATGCGTGCCCCTAGCATTCCGCATCTGCGCACAGTCGCGTGCAAGTGCCTGCAGAGCAGCCATCAATCGCACCTGAGTATGAATCAAGTCCTGGCTGAGCTTTGTGTCATTGCCAGGATCTTGCTCTGGACTTCCTGGATCCCACGTATCTGCTCGGCTCTTGGCTATCAACGTGCTGCTTGGTTTGTGCGGTGTGCAGCTTTGGCGCAGGAAACTTGCTGCACTGTCTGGCCCAGGTGGATTGGCGTCGGCAAGGTCGGCGAAGCATGCGAGAATGTGGTTAGAACCTCTAAGCTGAGCAATGCTGCTTCAGGAAATGTTTTCGAGGCTTCTGGCCATCTTCGTGTCTGTCTTCCGAGGTTCAGCGATTTCAGGATGCAAGCACCACGGATCGGAGCCTAGGGAATGCCTTGCAGTAGCTTTACGGCATGTGCTCTCCTGGAAATCCAGACCATTGCATGCTGTCATCTATGGTAAGAAAGCAGAATATGTGTTATGGCTTGCTGGCTCAACTTGATGGGCTTGGGCAAAGGACTTGGACGGCAAATTTGAGATGCTGGTCGATGCGGTGAATGAGGCGAGTATGTATGCCACAAGTAAAAGTTCCCTCGGGGGAAAGGTCTCTGACCACTCACCTCTCGGTGCAGATCCCCATGATCTCAGGCCCTGAAGCTTCAATGGTTTGCAGGTTGAGGTGCAGGGCGACGACAAGGTTGCAAAGACCCTCGTGTTTGCCAACTCAAAGCCTTGGCCTCAGTTGTCGAAGCAAGTGCTGATGCATGTCCATGCTTGAGCTGGGTTTTTCAGCCGGCCGTTAAGGACCACTGTCGATGCAGTTTGCTGGCGATTATCCGATGCGCGGATCCGGAGCATGCAGATCCATGGTGGGCTGACGCAGGCTTTGCTGCGTCTCTGCTTTAGCAGAAGGGTACCTGTCAGCTCTGTGCAGGCCACGCGGGATCGTGCACTGTCAGATTTCCGAAATGGCCGAGTCAACGTCAGCGCCTCAGATGGCCGTGAGCTCATCTCCGAACCGTGGCTATTGCTGGAAGGTCCTTGTCGCCACAGATGTCGCGGCACGTGGCCTTGACCTGCCAGGTGAGAGACCCATCGCAGTGAAGCATCAACAGATGCGAAACATTCTTGCTTAGCTTTTCAAGAGGCAGCAAAAGTTCAAGGATGGGTACTCCTCGCAGGTGTCGACCACGTTGTGAACTACGAACTCCCTTTAAATGCCGAGGATGATTGAGGGTAAACATGCAGTGATGAACCGAAGCCAGGCTCTCCAGGCTGCATACAACATGGAAACTACAATTTAGTACAATGAGATATGTATAGTAGGGCCTAATTGTATCGGGATAGACAATGCTACTTTCTCATGTTGTGCAGTGGCAGGACTACACGCACCGTATCGGCCGGACTGGTCGAATCGGGACCCCGGGCTAAAACATGCTTGGGGCAAAGTAGCAACCTACACTAGCACAGCCTGCACTGTGACAATTGGTCCTGCTAATCTCTTATAAGATATTGAAGTCTAGTAATATGCTATAACCTACCATTATAGATATCCTATAACATACTAGAACATACCATCACATACTGTAAGATATTATGAAGCCTCGAAAGGAATACCGGGATTGCAACCTCGCTGGTGGGCAGCTGGGAGCCCGCTCTGAAAGAGATCATCAAGCGGCGAGCTTGGCCAGCTCGGTTATGAGGAAGGTTCATATGGGCTGTAGTCCTAACTCCTTAGAGTGGGTTATATAGGGGGACTACTACAGGGGTTGCTAAGGGGGATTGTAGGAGTCTAGACTATGGCTCATATGGTAGGTTGTCAAAATTAGGGTCTCCAAAATGGCCCCTAATACTTGGGTACTCAAAAGGTAACCCTACTTTTGACAACTCTCAAACAAACCCTAAACCCTGAACCCTAAAGTAGGCTTTCCATGCAGGTGGAAAAGGGTGTTGCAAAAAAAACCTAAACCCTAAATCCGTAAGGTCCATCCAGGAGATGAAGACTGTGGAGATCCCTGAGCTCGGCTCTTGGAATCGGATCTTCTGAATGCTGTTGGGCTTAATTTCATCCCCCTGAAAAGGTTACCTAGGGGTATATATTGGAATGGAAGAGATAATTGAAACTACATGAGAGTTATATGGGGGTATATAAGATAAAACGGAAGCTACTATTGTGACGTTCTTGGAGCACAGGTGGTTGGAGTACAAGACACAGGGCAGCACCCGCAGCATCGGGCGCGGACGAGGGGCCTATGGCTATGCAGATCGATACAACCAAAGGAGAAATGACTCTGAGGAGGATGGTGGATTCAATCCAGGCCCGCGCGGTGTTAAAGCAGATGTAGGACTGATTTACGGCTGGTCTCCACAGTGTCTTTCATGTGAGAAAAATGCTGAAGCATGTGCCTCAACGAGCCCAAGAGCAATAGTTGTCTATTGCTTGAACAACTCTTGACCTGTGTGCTTCTGAACTCAACAGTTTAAAGCATGCGCAGCTAACGCCCTACAACCTTAAGTATCAGTATGTATTAGCAGCAATAGTCGCAACAAGTCATCGGACTAAAAGGGCCTGCGGGCATTTCGAGCCTCCGATGCCTTGCACTTGCCGACTTACTTAACATATTACCCTATACCCTATGCCAGAAATCGTTTATGGCACTATACCCAACAGAACAGATATCCTGCAACTAGCGCTCCAGCGTTGCAGCAGGCTACAGCAGAAAAGGCCAGGGAGGCTACCGCAAACGTTTCTCAAACGAAAGAGCAGCGACCCGAGACTGCTAAGCTTGAGGGGAGAAGGGCTTTGAAAAGGGGTTCTAGGGGTGAGCAGGGGTTCAGGGATGAGGGCTTTCTCAAAACAGGGGAGCTCTTGGGGACTCCTCGGGGTACGCTGGGATTACGAATGGATTCTAGGGGGTCCTGTTCTCACATGCTCAATATCCTAAATGCTGGGAATTATGGGGCTATGGGGTCATGCAGGGTTTTGTCCATCAAGTCCATTCTTCTAGGATCTCAGATGCCCCACATACTGCCAGGTGAGGCTAAGCAGCAAGAAGGGTTTCGGTTGTAGGCGTCATGTTCGGGGAGAGTTGAGTACAAGCCCGGGTGGGATTACGGCTTCCCAGGGACAAGACACAAGACATGAGGAGAGGCTTAATCACAATAGAATCTTCACTAGAATCTGTAGTCTCAGCCACGAGTTGCAACATCCCGTCCTTGTCTAGGGCGCATGCCAGGACTTTCTACAACATCAATGGAAGTGAAACCAGATAGACATGGCATTTCTTGGTGGGCGTGGGGGAAAGGGTATGGTGTCCCAAAGTTTTGTGTTCTTCTGAGGAGTGCCTTACCAGGATCAGTCCAGGAAAGCTGCTACAGAACTATGAGGACCCTACTTCGGGTTCCATGTAGTAACTTCTTCCAATCTTATGTGAACCCACAGCCAAGGACCCTTAAATTCTGGAAACACCAGTCCGTTTTCACGCATACAGTTTCCATTTCATTTTCCGTTTGATTCTCCATAATTGGGGCAACATCTGAACCCCGAACCCCCATACACACTATATGAGAAGTCGCATTTATTTACATAAGACAGCAGAAGATTAGCCTTGTCGGCATTTGTCCTCTAAAGCCAGCGTTCACTGGGGAACTGGATAGGGACCGCGCGTCAAGCGAGATAGTTGGAGTTATGGGCATGTGTTGTAAGCAGAGAGCTACGTAGAGTGCGAACGGGATCAGAACATTTTAAGACTATAAGAGAGCGTCCGTTCTAAGCGGAACGCGTTGGCGGACCATGGATTCAAACTACACTCATTCTAAAAGTAGTCGTTCATATAATCCCTACATTATCCCTTTACAATCCCCACGTGTACATCTAATACGTGCCACCATATATCTCCTACATGTAGCTCGGGCAGTGGTTAGAAGCCTGACCTGCCCAGGGCCGCACACCTCCGCGAAGAGGTGCCTTGCCTTCATTGTTCTTGATATACTAGCAGAAGAAATACAAACAGCGATAGTAGTATTCCCAATATAGTACTAGTAAAACTGCTATGCTCCTAATGATAGGAGTAACACTAGTACTTATACTGGTAATTAGCCCAGATTTCCAGCAAAGCAATTCAAGGGCGGGTGGGGGGGGTTGAGATGCCACGCATTCTGCACTTGATTGCTGGTTCAGGAAACCGGCAAAGACAAGAGGACTTGCCACTTGGCCTGTAACGTTCATGCCCACCAATCCAGGCACACAGCTTTTCATGCAATGCAGTGAGAGACCTGTTGGGAGAGGCGTAGACGCCGAGGCATGTAGCCCTTGCAGCAGACAGCCCTTACTGTACGAGTCACAGCAGTTCCGCTCACTTCCTCCAAATGTGCTCTTACACTTCAAATCATGACCATGTTGCCATGACTCCTGCGGTATGGGGGGTACTTAGGGTAATGCAGGATTGTAAATATCGACAGTGATGACGACTGGGGATAGTGCGTATTGATACACATGCTGTGCAGATGTCTCGCGCTAACCACTGCTAGGACTACAAGGATGACATATGCTGCTGCCATCGATCACTACTGTCACTGCGACTAGTTTTTCAAAGTGTGTCTCTCCCGGGCACCCACCGCTGAGCCCGTGCCCACACGATGATAACGTACACCCTGACTTCATAAGGTCAACAGAGTATATGCCCAAACCACAATAACCATAATCATGTTCATTAATGCAAGCCCTTTTGAAAGGGTGCATTGGTCACTGTAGGTAACCCTGAAGAATGATTTGGTATACTCCCTACATTCCCCTAACTGCCAGCAAGATGGCTTGTAGCCTCAGAGCTAAGGCCTCCTTGGGCACGAGGCCTCCCGCCGAAGCAGCGTATGCGCCGAGGCCAGAGACGCGATAATATATGCCCTATAATTGTAGTTTCCACTTTATTTTCCATTATCCCTACGTAACCCCAATATATACCCTGTAATACTATAGTTGCTCAAAGTTTAGGGATGCCAGGGATGCATGTGTATATAGGCTTGAAAGGGGGAGTGCGGGAGGTCACATTTCAAGCCTTCTTTTGATAAAGTCCGGTAGTTATGGGTCCACAGGAAAGACGGTGATTTTTTGGGGGTGCAGAAAGAGGAACCCCAGATTTGGTTGTTGGATTTTTTTTGGCATGTTGACATGCATTGAAGACTTCCGCCCCCCCGTGCATGCACTTAGGCTTAAATTCTATGTTTCCTCCATTTTGGGAGAAGTCAGTTAGGTAGATTTCCTTGCACGCCCTGACTCGCTTGCGGTGAAGAGGCAAGATCGATGATGAGGATATTCCACATGCTCTCCGTATTAATTTATTGCTACGGTTTTAAAGTAGTACCACAGCCAGAGAAGAACCACTGCTGAACACTGCTGATGTTCCTCGAAGTTTCTGAAGACGTTGCATGCTAAATGTCCTCGGGGCTCCTTCGTACTTCACAGGAAGTGTAGGAGTTCACACATTTTTCAGCTACGGAGATCGAAATATACCCAGCCGTGACTGATTGGGATGCAGCCGAGCTACAATCCTGGCACACCCACCCCAGAACAGGAACCATTTTTCGAACAAAACCCACACAAGAGCCACTAGTCACCAGTCTTGATGTACCTGCACCTCGCAGACGTAACCTTTCTGGCTGGATCGCTTCATTCATGTGTCCCAAAGCATCATAAGTGCTTGCGGAGAGGCTGAATCTTCCTCTGGCCTGCAGCTGGCGCTGTGGATAAGCAGGTTTGCGTCTTTAGGAAGGATCCTCGCTGTAGCATGTAGCACTGCCAGACCAGCGCCACATCTCCAAAGTGAGATGTGCCCTTTGGGACCCCGCAAGTGGCAAGCGCGAGCGAGCCGGGGGTTCAGGCGCCGATCATAATCAGGCTGTGTGGCTATACTTTCCACCAAAAAGCAGTCTTGTCAACGACCTCCACGCTGGCTGTTTTCGAGAAGGTCAGCCAGAACAAATAAAGTTTGCAGTTTTGTCTTGATGCTCGTTCTTCGTTCAAGCTTCCAGCATCCTGGATAGAAGGCTTGTTGCCAATCACCTCACAAAGCAGCGCAAAGCATGACGGAGCTTAGCAGCCACGCACATGGCAGGGCTTTGGACTCGGGAAAGTAGCTGAGCATAGCCAAGCATCCCACCCTGCGTAAGATGATACAACGCAATTGTACTGACCATGGAATGGAGCCTAGTCAACCTCTTTGGCAGTGCAGGATCTTGGCAAATATAGCCAGCAGAGAATCCCAGACAACGGTTGCATCTAGTCTTTGTGGAAACATTCCTGCAGAGTCGATGGGTTCTGCTCGCGTTGAGCCCCCAAGAGAGGACCACCTGGGGGGCACAGCCATTGTGGATTGTGACTGCTCAGAACTGTTGCGTTGTATCAGAGATGATGTTTTTCCCTGCCAGGAGAGTCCAACTTCTGACTTGTACAAGGCCTCACAATAATCGAACAGCGAAAGTTTTAAGGATCTGCATGCATCTTCGTGCATATTCTCAGTGGCGGGGAAGAGTTACAGCAAAACCAGAAGCTTACAGGAGATTTTTTCTACAGTGATGTTGTTTTAAGGCCGGCATGAACCTGCACATTGCCTTCCTTGCAGGTTGTTTGCCAGCTTCGGCCATTATGGGTTCCAGTGCTTTTCAGCGGAGTCAACACGGGCATCCAGACGTCGAGCTTGGCCTACATTGGTGGCTCGCGCTTGCATTGATGCCTAAAATGCCAAGAATCTGTTGAGAACTTCTGCACCTCCAAGGTTTAAACTTCTTTGCCCAGCAGTACACCAGTGTCAGGCAGAATTGCTCCGGTGCTTGTACCAAAGCTTTTAATTTTAGATCCTATAGATTCCTGATCAGAGTCCCTAGAATGAACCCGTATCGGCTTCCCTAGTATAGTCCCTATAGCCAGTATTCCCAGGGTGATTGTCAGGCCAGAAGACATCCACTGCGAGGACACGCCACAACTCGGCTATTGCCAGGCCAGCTCAAGCTTGCAACAACCGAATGTGTTGAGGGATTACTGGGGATATGGGGACCATGTAGAGATCACGTAGGGTTAGGGACATTCCCCTAAATATGAAAGAAGGCAAATAAAAAAGTAAAGATAAAACGGAAGCTATCATTCAGGGTCTAGGGTAGATAATGCTCATGCTGTCAAAAACTCGGCAGAACCTTTGGTGACTCAAACCCCGCTCAGGCAGCCATCAACGACAACTTGTTCTGGAGCAGCGTCATAGGCAGCAGCCTTGGTAACAAACAGCTTTTTCAAGTCGGAAACGAAATGCGCCCGTGCTAAAACTGAGATACACAACGCTCACCCCAACGACTGGACTGTAAGTGAAACCACCATGAAGAACGTGTCGTAATCTTGTCACGCTATGGCGCTCGAGCAAGAACATTGAACCTTGTCGCTGATGACATCAAGCGTGTCGTCGAGCCGGTGGTTCTGCAACAGGCACATGGCAACAGGATAGATTCCGGTGATGCAGGTGTTGAGGGCGTTATCTCAGCGAAGGATAAGGTGGCACATGTGTTTGCTGGGTGGGATGGAAGATTCACCTGTGCGTTCCGGCGACAGTTGCTCCGCAAGCTTTTCCGGGAAAGCTGTGAGGTCATCTTTTGCCCGTGAGCTTGAAACACTAACCCAGGGAAGTCAGTGAGCAGGTGTCATGAAAATGCAAGCTAAGCCTTCAATTTCTCAAACAAGGCGCCGTCGGCTCCTTCATTCATTTTATCCTGGGCCCTTTCCTGGGTGCCCTGAGTGATGCTGTGGGTCGAAGACCAGTGATCCTGCACCTTTGCGGCATTACGGACACGCAACCAGTTACTTGGCATTGTGTGTTGGAATCAATTTTTAGCAGGCAAGGCAGCGCCATGGCAGGAGGAACAAGAATTTGTCAAATCTTGTCCGATGCAACGCGACTCGCCTTGCCGAGGCTCTGCAGCTTGCTTGGCTACCCCAGCCTGGTGGCATTGATTCTCTTTGTGTATAGTGGCCGAGCTGCACTCCATACATCAGGGGTAGGCTAGCAACCGAAGTCCCAAAGCTCGAAGGAAACACCAGCTTGTACTACACCTTTGCACTGCTGCCGTTGGCAGGCCAGCATGCTCAGACCATCGTGGCCTCCATGTTCCTGCGCATTCTTGTCATGGAATAGGAAAAGATGTGGAACCTATTGCACAGTACAGCAATATGTTTTATTGAAAGAGTCCTGTGCTTGTGTCTGTGCGACATGGCTATGCAATACCGCTGACTAACCCGCCAGAATTGCCGGTGCTGGCAATCTGGTTTGCTTTTATCGTGGACTTGATGGAGGACGTGCCTTCTCAAGTTCACCATGTCTGAGAAAAAACGGCCTGTTTGCACTGCACTGTATGTGAGGCAGCAAAAGAAGCGTTCATGTAGCCATGCACCAAGTGACAAGGTGGCACTAGCATGATACAAGAGGTCCACATGAGACGCAAAGCAAGAAACGTAGGTCGGAATTGAGCACGTTCGTTGAGAGCCTTGTTAGTCAAGATTGTATCATGCTTAACTCATGAGATCAGGGCGGGCTGCCCTTCCAGAAGTCATGACCTTGCAGGACACGCGAGATAGCAGTGTGGCTTTTGGCGTTATCATGGCCGCTGGCCTCCTCTCCACGTGAGGCTCTCAGAATTTCAGTTGCACGGGCTTTGACGTGAATGTGTAGGGGCATTACATTTTGCTAGCCAAGCTCCTGAGCCTTAAGCTCTGAGCTTGCTCTCGAGAAACGGCTCCGTCTGTAGCCGCGACTGTCGCTCGAGCTTAGGATGGTGGGCACGGGAATCGGTGCAGCACTGTCACTCAAAGCAGGCTGGATGCCTAATGCCAACAAAGTAGTATGTAGTAATGGATTCTAGTTTCGGCCAAGAGTCAGCTGTGGGTGTGTGATGTGCGTCCTGAGAATCCCGAATGACACAGCAGCCGTGCCTTCTGCTGCAGGTGTTCTCGTCATGGCCTTTGTATGCACGACGATCCTCTTGCCATACCTGGCCGGAATCCCAGCAAAGCCTCCTACACTTGAAGTTTAAGCAAGATTGTGTGCGGCAGTTGAGGTTTGCTGCCTCCCTGAGCGTGGACCTCAGACGTGTGCACTTCAGCTTACGAGTCCTGTATAGTCCTATGCAAATCATTTTCGAAGCTGTTTGTCTTCAAGATAGCAGGGTCCGGATCCTCACTTGAGAGAAGCGGCCACTTCTGCGGTCGACCTTGCTTTTTGCGTGACATCCTTTCCATTAGACCTTCCTCACACCCGTCCCTGCATCCCCACAGATCACTTCCCGGCAAGTTCAGATTCATCTTGCCATCAAGATTGACATCCACTCTTCATGCATTCCTTTAAAGTCATGACCACTTTTGGGGACAGAATCCTGTAACATTACTCGAACAACAGCACTCCACATGCCCGCAGTTTAAAACAGAGAATCGCACAAGACTTGTCAACAAGCAGCTACATCCTCTTTCCTCAGTCTGGTAACCAAGGTGAAGTCCTCAACAGCCACCTACACGGGGATTTCCTTGAATCTATGAAAAAGTACGGGGCCCTTTATAAATTGTCTCACCATTTTGGAAACAATGATTTAGGCCAACCGCCACATCCCTTGCGTAAGGACGCTTCCCGCCTCCAAGCGCCAAACGCTGCGCTGTGCGGCTGCGGCGCCAGGCTTAGGCCTAGGCAACTTGGTTCTCAAAGACTTTTGACCTTTTGAAGTGGTTGTAGCGGGGAAGGATTTGGGTTCAGGGTTTTAGGATGAATGACTTCATGCTTAAGGTTCACGTATTTCTGACAACAGGTGACGCTGAGGGACCCTATAGGGATATATGTGCGTGAAGGGTTATTATGGGGGCTGTGTCGAAAAACTGCCACGCTCTTGGTCTCAGGGTCTTGATTATTTTTGGGTTCCTTGGTCTCGAAGGCTTCAGTATCAGCTATACATCTTTAAGACTCATAGCTGTTCGAAGCGGAGTCCAGTGATTTACATTTCAATTACGAGTTCTGAGCTGGTCCGTGGCACGGTATGTTGCATCTCATCTTTGGGTGCAAAGCAGGACTATACTGCAATTAGATCCGCGATTCCTAGAAGGACCCTCCTGGAATAGCACCCGCATGCGTGGAGGTAAGAGGTCCATATGCGAGGTTATTAGAGCAGGTTGCTTGTGGCCTGAATACGCTGGGCTAGAGGTCTTTTGGGCAGGGAGGCTTGATCTGTGCAGGTTTTGCAGCGTTTGTGGACAGGCTTCTTCGCAGTTGGGTGTTCATACTCGGTCACACTGATGGTCTCTGATACAAACTTGACTTACATACATCACTCTTGTGTCTGCGACCTCATTCAGGATGCCAAGAGCCCTGATATTTTGGTTGGTGCCAGCCTGGGTTTCGCAAGTTCAGTTGAGCACATGTGCTATCCGCATTCCGGCAGTCTCAGCTTCTGATCATAGGGTTCAGCTGTTGTTCTGGGTGTCCTGGAGATGGGCTGTTGCTGACAGACATCTGCAACTAAGGCATCCTAGCACGTGGGAGCCTGAGATGGCCTCAGCTTCCTACCGACAAGCATGTAGATCATCGATGGAGATCCAACTCCAGATGCAGACCAAACTACTAATGGAAGTTCCTTCTACAAGTACGGAAGTGCCCAGAACAATGACCGTTTGATCTACTGGATCATGCCTGCAGCCAAAGATGAGGCGCCCTGAACGTTTGGCAGTAAAGTTTGGAGTTCTGGTGCACCTTCGCTCAGGAAACGCGCTGTTTGTGCAACTGTCAACATTGGCTCCTTGGCTGCCTGTGTGCCTATGTGCCTGTGTGCTGTTGCATGCCTAAGTTTCAATGCTGCTTCAAGCGTCAAACCATTGGGGTTCAAAGTGACTAGAAATTGTAGCGAGAGGCCACGGCAGGTAAGCTGTTGCAAATCTTGCAGACGCAGTGGTGTCTGCTAGGTGATTGGCAGCACTTTCATTGGCAACGGCTTTCAGCGGGTTAGCGCAAGCTTTCTGCAGATGCTTGTCAGCACGACAGGCTTTGATATGGTATTGTAGAAGTTTGAATGCTTGTATCAACACATCATGGTGCCTTATTAGGTAGTTAGGTAGAACATCAGCGGTGGTAGCCATTGAAGATTTGCAGTAGTCCCTGTCGTCATGAAAGCTCAGAATGAGAAAGTTTCATTCACTACCGGAACTGTTTCCGAGAAGCTTTGCGGTTGGTAGGAGCCAGAGAATCAAACCAGTTTGCTGTTTGGGGTCTAGTTGGAGGTGCGGGGCAATTACAATCCAATTACACCTGGTACTTAAAATGGATGACTCATAAGCCAGTTCTGTCCATATTATGGACTTGAGGCCTTAGAAATGGATTACAAGTTCAGCTGCAAATGGGTTACATACTAAGCCCCTTGATCCTGTTCAGTATGTATATACTACATCCGTATCAATCCCCAGTTTGATTCTTTCATTGTTGTGTTATAACTGGCCCTTCCGCACGTTTTTTTCGGCAGTGTCTCGTGATTTGGTAGTTTCCACCCTGTGAACGCAAAACATCATAATCCTTACTATGGGACCCACCTCCCGAAAAAAGAGAGATTTTTTTGGAAACCTGCATTTTTGCGGGAGCATGTTGACGAACTTCTTCGGCCATAGAGCGCGGCGTGTCAGGACAATTGGTGCGATTGCGCAAAGCTGTCGCACAGAGTGCTCTCGTTTTTTCTGCCTTAGACTTGCTACCACATGAAACATAACTCTGCTTTGTTGAGCTTTTGTTTCTGCGCCGCGTCCCAAGCATTTCCGAAGTGCAGTGTCAAAGCTAAGGAAATACGTTCACTGGCCCAAGTCCAGCAACAACCTCGCCATAGCCATCGCCATGGCGTCCAGCGTAGCTTGGGCTGGGGTCGGCCTGTCTTTCACATCGCGAATTGTCGGAGATGTTGGCACACTAGGCGGGCGGTGGCACTGAAACCTGACCGTGAGCGGAAGTCGTACGTGTGAGAAGTTTATTGTAGCAACAGCGACAGTCAGCTCTGTGCTTCCGCAGTGTGTTGGTTTCAGGTTGTGCCACCCTGAGGCCTGGCGCTTTTTGCCGGCACGCTCTACATGCTCAGCTTTGCATTCATTACGGAAGCATGGCACGTGTACGTTCTCAATGCTGCTACTCTCCTGCAAACAACAATACGAAGTGCAACACGCCCGCAATGGTGGCAGGCTTCAGAGTACGTGCCTAATCCCAGGTACTTTTGGGCCCGCAAGCCCTGGCATTCCCAGCCACCTCTGCCATCAAGAGTCGGCTGGTGGCCGAAAACGAGCTACCCAACTGAACAGTTGGACTTCGGGGTTTGGTGTAGCAGGCTTTGAGGCAGTGCAGTCGTTTGTGTTGGAAGAGGCAGGTTTAGAGTTCAAGTGTCTGGCCTCCTGCCGTTGTAGTTGGTGCAGTTTGCCTAGTGTCGCAGGGAAAGGCCACAGTGTACACGCTGCTTGGTTCATTTAGTCTCATGGCGTCCATCTATTCAGCATAGGTATTTTTTGTGGAGCCGGTCTTGCTCAAGCCTTACACGCCTGAAGCCTCATAGACACCAGGTTGAGAAAAGACCACTATGCTTGCTGAATTAACAGGCAAGGTAGACTGGAGGCGGAAAAGAGCACAGTCCTCGCAGGTTCCTTTTGTTAGGGATTTCCAATGTCCAATCCAAATCATGTGAACTCGGTATCGGATTCGGTTGGAATCCAGCACCTTCAAGCTGTCACATGTTTCATGTTGTCACTTTTTGTGATTTTGACCTGTTGCTAAGTTTACATGTTGCACTGCAGGTAGTTTCGCTGATGCTAAGGGACCCTACCTTAGCCACGCCACACGCGTGCCAACAATCAACCCACAACAACAAGCATGATGCATAGGCTCCTGCATGCCATAAAAATGTCAGCTTTGAACATGAGCATGGGCCCTTGAGATCTGCATGCTATTCAGAGCCTGGAATTGTTGATTCAGATCTCTTTTCCCGTCAATGCGGCAGGCAGGGGCAGCTTCAGGGCGCCTAGGCAGCATCGTGGCCATGACTTGTCCGAGTCAAGAATGATCCTTCTTGACGCCCAAAACATCCAAAATTAAGCTTGGTGAGGGTGCGGAAATAGCGTATTTGATAGAATACCCAACCACTAGGAGCCGGAGTGTGGGGATGAGCTTGCTTGCATCCTTGATTGCTAAGTTCGCAGGTAATGGGCGGCCCACTATTCCACCAAGGAGTCCTCAGAAAAGGGTGAGGGGCATCTAAAGCAGAAGAAGTAACTTCAGCACCGGAATGGTGGTTGTTGTTGCTGTGGCAGAAGCGAGAAACAGCGATGCAGCAGCCTGCATATATATATATATACATATTGGGGTTATTTAGGGATGACGGAAAAGAATATGGTAACTACTACACTATCGGGTAGAGTGTTCGGATATAATATAGAGATAATGGAAAATACGATGGAAACCATTTTATTGGGTTAGACCTGACGTACAGAGGTGCGCTTACCACTGGAAAGAGCATCGCTGAATCGCTTGGTCCACTGGTCTTTAGCTTCCTTTTCGAGGCCGTGCGATTCTGCTGTAAAGAAAAAGGCAACTGTGGGGTTATATAGGGGTATATAACCCTGAAATAGATCAAATGGACAAGCAAATAGAACATGAAATGGAAGCTACAGCATTTAAGTATCAGAGGCTGCCTTCCAAGCACACTTGACAGTCCAGTCGTGAGAGAAATGGTGCTATCGCCCGGCCTGTTGATGAGGCCTTCAACGGCTCCGGAAAGACTCCGGGGCAAACAAATCAATGGCAGTCCAGGTGCACTGCCTAGGCCACTGCAGCTACCGCTTCTTTCAGTATCTTGAAGGCTTCCCATCTTGGTGGCCTTCGTCTTGTCGCTGCCCCTCCTGTGCATAATCCTTGCGTTGCCACAGAAGTTGGCCAGCTACTTGCCTCGTCAGCTAGCAATCAAGCAGCCTGAGCTGACGCGCAAGTTCCATGATGCTTGGAACTGAGACTACATCATCCAGAAGCAGGTCGCAGAACAAAGCCTAATTCTGGAGCTGGAAAGTCTGGAGGTGGCAACTTCCCCTCTTGGTCCTCTCTGAGTTTTGCACCGCGGCTTCCCGTATGCACCGTGCAAGGCAGAAGATGTTGGCTTGCTGGACAAGTCGCAGAGGCGGGTCGCAAGGATTTGCGTCTCTTGGGCTTTGGGTGGAAAATTTGCAGAGCGGAAGTGTGAAACACGGCTTGTGGCTTATGGACAGGATCACGTTAGTCTTAAAACCAGAACCCATGATGATGGTGTTTCTTGATGGGAGCGATTTGCACTGTGTCAGGGCTGTGCCCATGCTGTACTATAGGGGCCTTTTCCTTGTTGCCACTTCCGATGTACTTGGTGCCTCTTAGTGCGTTCGTGGATTGTGGAGTTGCGGGTCAAGGCTGTGAGATTTCAGGCCTACAGTCCCCCTTAATACTATGTCAGAGTAAGATCCCCCTCATAAGAAGGCAGCTTCTGTTCACCTTCTACATGTACCCTGCCTGCAGGGAGCGGCTGCTTTGAGGTGCGGAGCATGGCAACGCTTCTTGGCTTGCAATGGGAGCCCCCAATCCCTAAACATCCCCAGATACTCCACATATGTATATGTAGCATGTACATGCAAGAGTAGTTTCCATTTCATTTTCCATTTGATTGTCCAGAATGATTTAACACTGAACATCTAATACACTGCACATGCCTGCGGGTGTGCACCATGAGAAGCTTGAGATAGCTCTTCATTTTTGATATATCGTTATGGAGATTCGTTATGGAGAATCAAACGGAAATTCAACAAATGGAAAAGGCCATGGTGACTAGTATATCTGTATATATATATGTATATGTATATGTATATGTATATGTATATGGGTGGTGGCTAGAATCCGCATGTTGCGTTTTAGGCCATTTTTCTACATGAATGGCATACTATTTATATGTGTATATATATATATGGTACGGATCCCCCCTGGCGTCATCCATGGTCTATTCGGTGTCAGCCACAAGGCCATAGAGGAAGAGGAAAACAAACTCTGCAAGCTCCGCCGTGACTATGTAGAAGCCACCGAGAAGACTGTCAAATTCGGGGACGGCAAGGGGTGGCATGACGTAGAGGCGGACGAGGCCACGTTCGACAAAAAAGGATGTCGCTAATGTTCTGAACTTCCAGCACCTCATCAAATCCAAGAATCAAACGGTCTTATGGGAAAAGTGGGCTGGCATCATTCAGAGGGGACGTCCCAACACCCTGGCCTGCGCAAGCTCACTCCCAAGATCACCGTAAAGCGCGCCTCTGGGCCAGGCGCCGTTCGCAGAGTGGAGTGGAAAAAGCTAGCGCAGGATCTCTGGCGCGACTGCCTGATTGTGTTGCACACAGATTCGGCCAAGAGCTACAAGCTCAAGGTCCCTGGAGTGTTGCACGACCGAGTGGTTCACTGCAAGAAGAGAGTGAAGGTCCGAGGTAAGTGGCGGTGGCTCCAACCTCATTATGTTCGTCTGGTGAGGCACAAGATTCCAGGCGCCAAGGGTAAAGCCCTCATGGTGAAGTCCGGCACGCAGATCGTTGAGAGAGTATGGCGGTTTCTAAAGGACCGCATTAATCATTAATGCTAATCAGCACGCCAAAGAGCTAAGCCTCGGTCCGCGCAATATTAGTACTGACTGCGTGCTGCTAATCTACGGCTGGCCACCGGAAAGCTATGCTCAGGTGCCATGCAAAAGTTTCTGTCGTAAGCAGTTCGTTCAGTATTTCTACTATCCATAGCAAGAGCGTGATGTTCCCTGACTTGGCTCCCATTACGTCGCGGTACGTCTCGTGAGTACCATTGCAAATACCGTGAAGAAGTTTCCCCAGTAGTACGCTGTCAAGTGCGTTGTCCATGCAGCAGTTGATGCATCACAGGCTTTGCCTGCCAAATTCGGATGCTCAAGCACACGCTGCTCACCAAAGCAAATGCTCATGATGCTGATGCACAGTTATGTCATGACATCGCGCGCGCTATACTACTGAGCTTATTTAACCTAAGCTAATATTACGAAACCCGTCTAAATTCTAGAAAAGGTAGGTCGTGTGGGGGCAGCATATGTATATGAACTAGCGCATGTGAATTCAGCAGCCCCGACAAATTATGAAAGGCTTTCAAAGGAAAAAACACATATTCCCAGAACACGCACATTACAGAATCGAGTTTATAGCAACGCAACTTAACAAAACTGCCAACAACTTCAGTGCGATTTCTCTTTGGGCTCCTTGTGTTCTCTATCTATGTCTCTTACTAAGTTTGCTTAGAATGTAATGAGGACTTCAGAAGTCTTGGCATAGAACATTTGCCAAACAAGCCTTGACTTTACAGCCCAAAGGCTGTGAGCTGTCATTCTCTAGTCTTCTGCTGGAGTTCTATTCCATTTGTAGGAATGGAGCTTTAGTTTTACATTGAGCATACGTAGTCAGTTGTTGCTTGTGCTTTGGTTCCAATTGAGATTTGACTGCTTCACAACTTTATTTGTATCGCGTTCTGAACATCTCCGTAAAATGAGGTGGGGCAAAAAACTCGTGTCTTACTTAGAAGAGCAAAACATTCTCCGCATGAGGAGAGAGCTCCAGTTGGTTCTATTGAGGTTATATGCGATCAAAAGAAACACCTGCAAGGAGCTCAAGCTTTCAAAAAAAAATTGTGTCGCTCTTGTACTTTTATTGCGGAGTACGCACAGCATTCCACTTAGTTCCATTCTCAGGAACAAAGGTTCGTTTCTATCAGCGACCTAATTAATGATTGCAGTCCTAAGAAAGCATTCCTAGGGAGCCTCATTTGCTACAATGTGGATTTGCTTTTCTTGAACTCAAAAACAAGATGTCTCGAATACACGCTTTAAAGGTTGACCTCGGATCATAGCAGTTTCCCCTAGTATATATATATATGTATACATACATAGATATCAAAAACATCGATAGGGCCAACTTGCAGTTGCTATGTTCAGCAAAGAGTTTTTTGGCTTACTTCCGAAATATAATATGTTTGAACATACATCAGCTAGCTATTAGTGAGTTTTTCTATTTCGGCAAAAGATGCGTAGCTGCTCTGCAGCCGCGAAAGGCCAAAACGCATTGTGCGGATTCTAGCGCCGAACCATTTCGTATACAGGGTATTTAGGGAAAAATAGGAATGGAAGCTACTAGACTATTCTTGCATTTGCTCGCATCTATCCGGAGTGGGAATGCGCAAGGATCCATCTCCGCACCCTGGCAGCTGTCACGAAAAAGCGGAATTGTTTTCAGCGAGAAAAATGCGTTGCAAAGGCAGAGGCCTTCAGCGGCTGAAGTTGAAGATGCTTGCAGACTTGATAATTCATCGTGCCGCTGCATTCTAAGCAGCAATTCCTGTCACCAGACTTGTCATAACAGTCCCACGAAAGGATCAAAGAAGTTGCATTAGCTTGGGTATTTTATTTTGGTGTCAGGAAGCGGATGTCATTGCCAATGCGATGCTCGCACATGAGCTTCAAAGACCTTGGAGAATGCTGCAAACATGCAAGGGTAGACTAACGTTCTGGTTCTGATTGGTGGGCTCATGATCCCTGCTTGAGCCCGTCAGTTCCCATTCGCGAACACCTCCTGAGAAGAACGGTAATGCAGGATGACATGAGACTCACCAAAACAGTCCCCTGCTACCAACATGTTTGCGCTTTAGCGACGACAGTTGATCCAACAGCTCAGGGCCTAGTGGCACCTTAGCACTTCAACATTGCTGATTCCAGGATGCGCAGCGCGGAGTAGGTTCGACTTAAACACTAAAACATCTCAAACATCCAAGCTTTTGGCCACTAAAATCTTGAACCACACAAAAAAGGTGAAGCTGTGCTGCAGCCGTTTGTCTCTGCCAGCCCACGCTGAGTCAAGCATGGCAGCAGAGCCTGGGGCAAGCGCGGCGCCCCGTTCCCTGTCAGCACTCGGAGCTGGGTTCCCGATAAATTGATGACGCTAGCCATGCGACAGCATTGGACGACTTGCTGCAATTTCGAGACTGCCCACCAGCAGCTCCTGCAGGTTTCGAGTTCATCGGAGACATTGTCAACCCATCAACGCCAAGCGACTCTGACCACAATGCTTTGCTTTGTCGCGTAGAAGGGCCAGGCAAGCAATGTGAATTCCTTGGCAGGGAAAGACCTTAATTTTGACGACCTTTGAGATCCATATTGCGGTTACCAAGGGACCACGAAGGTGGACATGGGGGACCTTTGGTAGTTTGGTATAGTCCCAAATGTATTCCCCAATAGGAACCTAACAGGGGTTTAGAAGGGAATGTGGCATATAGGGATTATATGGGGATTATATTCCCTATTCCCTACTAACCACCAGTAAGATGATTCTCTGGGGAAATAGTAACTGTAGCTCCTTTGGGCAAAACATGTCCAGGATTTTGTAACCTGGCAGGTGCCGGAGTTGTTGTGGTGTCCTGGAATGTGCTTTGCAAGCATGGGCCTTGGAGTGCTGCACCCAAACAGTATATTCGTTCTATGAGTATTCCTATTCCAACCTTTTTTGGTTTTAAATATCATTGCCGTTATTAGTATTACTATCACTGTGCTGTGGAATGTTGTCGTCTGCTTTCCTTCATAGCTTCCACTCAACTACTGTCTATGGAAGGTTTGGCTTCAACGAGCGCTTTGGTTTTCCCTACGATGGCTTCAATCGGCGCTTTGAGTCGGAGGTCGCCCCCTGAGAGTGGTCATGTGGGGGGTTTCCAAGATGGCTAAAACATTATGACCATGATCCTGATTGTAGGGACCCCTCTTTTTTGGAAAGCCCCATGCATGAGCCCCAGTAAGCTGGCATGGGTGGGAGTCCACGACATTCTGATTCTTGAGCTGGACGTATCATTCGTTCATGAGCCGTATCATCTGCACGCCCTCACCTCTCGTGATCTCCAGGCCGATTACCTGGAGCGACTCCAACGCGTGGCAGATAGAATCAAGGGTTTCGCTGAGAGCCATCAGCCAGACGTGATCCTGATCCAGGCGTGGAGTTGACAAACCTAGAGATTGCATTGCCTTGACAAGGATACAGAACTCAATAAAAAGAGCAGGGGGTCGTGTACCTATAGTTGTCACAATAGATCTCTTTTGTTGTTTCGTTTTGTGGGTAGTACTGGTGGTCTGCTTCGATGCAAGCCGTGTCTCCATGGACTCGCAAAAAGGAGAATGCGAATGCGTGCAAGGGCGAGTTTGGAAGCGATGCCTTGCCTCGGATGCTGCTACCCTTGCAAGATAAGCACTATCAGATTCTTCAGGCCAGACTTGCAAGACCCAACCTAGAATCAGTTTCCATGAGAGTAGGGCAAGGCTCCTGCAGCACGGTTGCGGTGAGGACGGAGAGTTCCTCAGTCTGGTGCGGGAGCGTAGCAAGAAGGCGTTCACTTTGGACTTGCCACCACTTCATCGAATGCAAGGCACGGGACAGTCTGCCACCATGGTTTTGGCTGCGCTCTAGCAGGATTGCTGCAACGTAGCAAGGCTGTCTTGAATTACCTTGCCAGAAGCTTCATGCTCAGGTCCTGATAGCTTTTCAAATTAAGGTGGATGCATTCTTGGCCTAGGCAGGCTGTCAGAAGTCAGGCTGCTTGCGCTGCGGCTGGAGTAATCATAGTCATACATGCCATGCTGTAAACTCACTGCGACATGGGTGCACCTGAAGGCAAAGTGCACGCAGTACGCTGTCCAGATCTGAATGTCGTGATCCTAAACGTGCATCTGGCATTTGACAAGCGTGGCAGCGAGAACTCGAAGTCCGAGCCTTGAAGGCTGCACTGCGATGTAACGTTCTGCACGGGCTACATGTTCCACGAGCTGGCTAGCACGCAAAATGGTGGTTGCTCTGTTGCAGGCCCAGTGCATAGACATCTCTTTCATGTTGTGAGGTTGAATCGCCAGGACCTTGAAGCCATCCGGCGCTTTTGCAACGAGACACGGCCTGGGTAAGGGGATCATGTAACCTTGGAAGACTGAAGCTCGACGTGATGCTGTGACGGCTTGCAGTCCACCCCGTGTAAATCCATGAAGCACAAGATCTAGAACGGACCGTTTTGGCACACGTCAGCTGTCTGGCAAGGAAAGCTATCCCGGGACCTCCATCATCTTGGCCGGTGATACGAATCGGGTCTCCGAGCAAGATCGCCTGGACGAACTTGCAGAGGCTGTGACATGCGGTCTATTCAAAATAGGGATACCCTAGGGATTGGTTTGAGAACCTCCCACTCCCAGAGTTCACAGTTTCCGTGCATGCCTGGACTGTGCACAGCAGAAATACTTCAACTTCAATGAGGTCATTGAGCAGCTTATAGATGGACTCGGCATCCTGTACATGCCGCCGAGTCCCACGAACATTCGATATGACTGACACCTGGCAGCAAGCTTTTTTGAGCAGCACTTGTCCACTATTGCCGATGCTAGGACATGCTAGCCACGAAATCATGCTCACAACCCCACTGTCCGGGGGATACCTGCTGGTGCTAGCTAGGCAAGACTGGAAAGAGCGAGTTCACCTATGCCGATTTTGTCGCTGACCTCACATTACACAGTTGACAGTGAGGCGTGGGGGGGGCATGTATTTCGAAAGCGTACGCTACCATGAAGAAAAGCTCATCCCTGACAGGCACCGCAACTGCTCCAACAGCTTTGGAGCGAATGTACGACAAGCGGTTTGCGAGCAAACAGCGAAGGGCCGCAGTGGGGCTCACTTCATGACGTAGGGGTAATGTGCATCAAGCTCGTCAACTGCGGGTTTTGGAGACTCACTGCTTTTGCCTTTGGCTCAAGGGCTTCCTTTAAACAGGTCTCTGGCGAGTATGACACATGTGACTGATGGAGGGACTGCACATGGAAGAAGTCCTGTGTGACAGACAGAGCAGTGCAGAAAGCAACTGCTGATCATGTGCCAGGAGTGTTGTCGGCGTGTAAGATCACTCTAAATTTTGGCGGCTGCAGACCCTCAAAGCTCAAACCCCAAGCTCCGCACCCTACAAGCTGTATCTATGTGAGCCAATGTCTCCCACGAGACGTTTGCAATGGCTACTGTGTCAACCCCGCCAAGAGCTTCCAACACGCTCTCCAGGGAGATGCTTCACGGCTGTGGTACTCGCAACACCCCCGGCTACCATAACAAGATTGTGAAGGATTATGCCAGTAAGTTATACCGACTCATGGGGATCATGATCATGTGTGCTGGAAGTGCTGTCAATTCCCGCAGCTATCGTAGAAGCATGCTAAAATGGCGAGACAGTCGTGGCTTGTGTGGCAGCAGTGTGGAGAATGTCAAGCACCTAAATCATGTAGAAGATCATCGCAAGGACAGCAGTAGCAACCTTATCTGACAGAATAGCCATGTGAGCGTGTAGATTCCCTGCTCTGAATTTCGTATGACCCCGGCGGTTGAGACGGTTTCGCATACCATTGCACCGCAATCCCCCACAGAACTCTGACGGTCAATAGCTGCAAGGCTGACGGTGGCTCCAGCTCAATGTCCGGCTATGACAGCCGCAGCTGGTCAACTGCTTCCAGCAGACACGTCCAAGATACAGGTCCCACCTGTGACTGCCCAACCAATGCCTACTCCTATATTTCAAACTCAGACTGTTCCAGTGACCGCAACGTTTCCACAGCCACAAGTACTAACGACCCAATGCACCCAAGCCCCAACATTTTTCGCAGCACCTGCGCAAGTACTACCACCTGTGACCTTGCAGACCCCCCTGCCGGCTTCACAGACCGCCGTGGCAAGCACGGTGTCCGCTTCTGCTGCCCTTCCAGCAGCCCAGCCTTGCTCCACCCCGACGATGGCATGCAGGCAGATACCTTCTGCACCGATTTCGACGATTTCGGCTCTGGAGCTCTGGGGTGTGTCGGGAGCTCTACCACCCCGTCCAATCCAAAGACAAGTGTCCATGCCCCTGACTGCCACAACCGGCCCATCGCTCCCACCGGCAGCCGCGACACAGTCTGCACAGGCTCCTGCTAGAATTCTCGCACAAGAGCCTGGGCAGGAGCCCAAGAGGTTGGCAGCTTGAATCACCATGGGCCATGTTGTAGCCCGCGGGGCCCGAGGTTTCAGCAAGCCTGCAGCTCGGTGAAGCTCCCACTACGAGCAGGCCGATCGGCAGGCCTGGGTTCCTGCTTTTTAAGTTCACACTGAGATCCTAGCAGCTGCATGCAGCTAGCATCCAAGCGCGGATCCTGTAGCCTGCCAGTCGCTTCGCCCATGTCGCCCGTGCCAGAGCAGGACTGTAAAAGGGCTTGCCAGAGCGCGCCTCAAGGTGTCATGCACAGGGGTACCATGGGCAGATCTCATCTTCTTGGTGCCCCCTTGAGTCGTGCCATCGTCGTAACGTTTTAAGTCCTCCAGTGAAGGTACCAAAACAAGTTCACAGCGCACAGCCTCAGTGCATACTGGAGGACGAAGAAGCCGAAGGTCCACGTCTGGAGGCGCCCAAGCCTGGCCAGCTGCCAACCTCCGCAGCTCGGTGAGAGGTTTAATTCGAGTTGACGAGCCACATCCTATTGATGCCCCTTTATGCCCCTTTAGAGGGGTTCTCGGGGTCCTTAAGAGTACGTATTGGGAACAGGTATAAAGGAGCCATGGATATTCAGCGCTTTCACAAACTTGCAGCTGGCACCTAAACTCCACCCAGTCCAGGATTATAAGCCCAAGGAATATTAGCGCAAGAACAGATGATCAAATGGAAAAATGAAAGGACAATGAAATGGAATACAGCTGTTACGGGGGTCTGTAGGGATTTGTAGGGTGCAGGGGATGACGCCCCCAATAATGGAAAAATAAAATGGAAAACCAAACAGAAAATCAAATGGACAATGAATCAAGCTGGGACTGTAACATGGCATAATGATATGTTGAGTCTCCTTTGGATGACTGCTTGCCTGTTTCCATTGTCTTTTAACTAGACCTTGAGCCTATACCCTAAACCTGAAACCCTAAACCCTGATGCCTAAACCCTAAACCCTAAACCCTTAAACCCTAAACCCTGAACCCTAAACAGAGTACTTTAGATACAGGCACCAGCAATTCTCAGACCTGGTTCAGCTCCTGTGACCCTGGCTTCTACCGAGAACTGGCTTCCACAGGCCGGATGGGCTATGTTGGTGGTCTCCTTCAATGACTAGTAGTTGATTTGGGGATATTATGGTCCCAAGTGGAACGAAATTTAAGCACCACCTCATGACCATATCAGAGTCTTTTCATGAGATTGGCGATTGCTCCTCCCCATTCTCTTTCAGGACGTCGAAAGTGGGATTGCTCAGATGGGAAGAGACAGCCATTTCGCTTGTTCACAACACTGACGTCCCGAGTGTTGCCAGAAGAACATTGGAGTTTTCACAGATCAGGATTCTGCTGCAGTTAAATCATTCACAGTTCCCGCGCTCACTGCAAAGAGGTAGTTCACTTTCAGGAGGACATCTTATCGTAATCTTGACACTTTTTTGGGAACAATTCGCACATGATATGTTGAATTAGGGCTTGCCTGCTAGAAATTCTTTCACGTTGTGGACCCTGACTGGGCCCAAGACCCGCCCTTCTGTTCCTCATGTCACAAAACAATCAACTTCGCTAAAGCTGCGAAGAACATTCTTGGAATTTGTCCAGGGGGCACGAACATCGATGCCAGCACTCTTTAATTAGTCGTGACAAACACGTCCCGAAGAGCAGGTAGACGGCCATCACTGCAATTTTAGATAGGCTGTAAATTTCCCCTGACATCCCATGTGCTTCGATGCCAGACTATTGCAGTCCGTGAACCCCATAGTGCCCAATATAGCGTAGGATTGTATCCTCCTTTTCGTTATGGTGGTTTACACGAAAAAATTAGCTGGTTTGAACCACAAAGAAATGCTACGCAAATGGGTTTTCTGTTTCATACAGGGATATTAAAATCCTTGCTGCAGGATATGGGGGTGATAACACGTGGTGTAGGGGGCAGATAAACTGTTGACGTGGGTAGTTCTCAAAGCAGGCGCGGCCTTGCCAGAGACCGCCGGGAATTGGAAGTTCTGGGGAGTCTCAAGGGTATCTTCAAATTTATGTAGAGAGACCAACCACAACAGTAGTCAGAACTGTTGTCGGTCCCATAGTCAGTAGTAATCTTACAAACGATGACCGCTCACACTTCCTGCCTCCCCTTGCTCTTACTCATGTTCTTCGTCATTACAGCGATGATTACTGGAAAGGTTCTGAGTAAGTCCACGATTTTGGAATTCCTTCCAATGCTCTTTACAAAACCAATACACTCACTCTAGCTCGAGCTGCTTGTTATGATTGCTTAAGATGTCTCGCTCTGAGCAATGACGGGTGAATCTTGATGCGCAGCAGGTGTGGCTCAATGCCAGTGACCGCAATTTCAGTTGATTTGGTAGTTTCTCGAAAGAATCCCTATAGACTCCATGAATGGGACCCTTTGTCATCTTTTTCAATCTTGCCGGGCTCTTTATTTGGAGAAACTAAATTTGTGAACAGCAAGTCCTTTCCCGACTTGACAGGTAAGTTCCAGGACAAGCACGGGCCCTTCCATGCCAGTGTTTTCCCCTGCTCCACAAGCCACTCCACAGGCTCTGGGCATCACACTTCGACAGCTGCTAGCATGCTGGGGTTTGACGGTTACTAGAGCTGCAACTGACTGGCTCCATGTAGACCGGGCTGGCGATTTCTGTAAGCCAAGTTGCACGGTGCTTATAGAGAAGGCAGACCTGGCTGCAGAGGCAAACGCAGCGGCAAACGCAGCGGCGATCTACTCAGCTACGCCGTGGACTCTTTCCCAGGCAGGAGAATCTGCTCCGAGAACCAAAAAAGAGTGTGGCTTCTCTTGTTTGATTGCCCTCACGCAGGCTGAGCTGCAGATGAGTCCAAGAGGCCTGCTGCCCAAAGCCCTCACTGGCGCTCCCTTTGCCACCGCGCCTGCCTTCCCATCGCCGCAGGCAGGTCATCCCATGGGCAGGATTCATTTTTGGTTTAGGGGCTTTTCATTCAGCAACATTTGCACAGGCGGAAGCCAAGCTGAGCCCAAGGGGCCCTTGGCAGCTGCCTGCCTCAGCACCCCTCTCCACGCCCAACCGCCTCTCACAGGCCAGCTGTGACAAGTCATATGCATTCACGATCTTCTCTTGAATATGTATTGTAGTAATACACTGCACCCCAAAACGCTATTGTGTCATTTCTAATGCTTTAGCTTCTAGGTCTTGTGTGAACGTGCCTGAGGGATCTGCGAGGCAGAAGCCATACCATGCGCAGCCATATCCTGCGCAGCCGCGCCTGTTCCGCCTGCTTCGAACCGGTTTCTGCAGGCGTGCAGCAGAAGGGCTGTGCCGGCCTGCATATGGGATTACGTGAGTTTTCACTCAAAATCATGAAGCAAGGATGACGACGTATGCTTTGCCGAGCTTTGGATGTGTTGTTTTGGTGTGTCTCTTTGACCTCGAAAGGCAACGGCTTCGCCATGGTTTGGTGGTTCGAACATCCCGGCGGTGGCCTCACTGACTCTTCAGCTTTCCCACTTGACATGCCCTCCTCTATTCTGCAACTGCGAGGCGTCTTCGGGCCTGGGCTCACCTCAGCCATCCTCGCCATGCGCAAGCTCTACAGGGGAGCTGCTGCCAATGCAGGCGCTTCAGAATCCAAGGCGCGTCCTTTGCCATTGCAACTTACGCCTCAGGCTTCCAGGAGCTCGCAAGCCGGACACTGTCCTTCACGGATGTTGTCGTCACCCCTTGGCCCGTTCCAGACCGCACCTCGACATGATTGGATTTGGGGTTGACTTCAGCGTTGACGTCAATGCTAGCCGGAGCGCGATCAACCTGCTTCAGACTGGGTCCTTTTGCAGCCTCAAGTTTAGTGTAGATGGTGGTGGTGGTGGTGGTGGTGGTGGTGCTGCTGCTGCTGCTGCTGCTGCTGCAGCTGCTGCTGACGGAATCCTGATTTCAATGATTTTTACTGCGAACTGGAGGCTCCGCCGCATGCAGCCGGAATGGATTTCCAGCTGCCACCTCTGCCGGATTTCTCGTGGTTCGATCCGAACACGACCCTGCAGCTGGACGTGCTTCTGCCGCAACTCCACATATTTGTGATAAGATTTCTTGCTGGCCAACGCTTACCATCTGGCTGAATCTAGCAAGTCTAGCTTTGCTGAGAAGCACAGAGTCCAGGTTGAGGACGATGAGCCACCCGAGAAGCCGGAGCGAGTCACTCGAGGACTCTGAAACACATGCATGTTGACGTGCTCTTATAAGAAACAGGCCAGAGTTGCAAAGGTGTAAGGGCACCCGGCCAGGACGGGTTGAAATACTTTCACGAAGCTAACCAAGGATTCTTTGTAGAGACTCCCAGCCCGATTCAACATCACATCTTGAGCTGCCTCTAATGTAATATGCATGCAGGCCTGGCGGATGAAGAGACCATTGACCGCTGCAGAGACATGTATGCTGCCAAATTGGATGAACAGTTGCAGCGAGCGACAAGGCCAAAAGTGAGCTGTCTAAGTGCCCGAGGGCCAGATTAGGGGTTCAAAAGAGGCTTTCGTGTTGGGATATCAACTGTTTGCACCCAGAAGCGTCAACTGAACTTCAATCAGACCTGGAATCTCGAAGCGGATTCCTGAGCGTCTGAAGAGGTGGCTGGAGCAGCAGGCTGCGGACCGGAAGGTGCAACTACGGCGCGAAGCCGCACAGCGCCGCCAGCAATACGAGCAGGAGGTCTGGCTCATACTTCCCCTTTTACTTCGATCAGCTACTGGGCTACTGCGGTGGGTTGCCTTCAAATTGAGAATTTCAGTGCAAATTGAGCTGGGAAGCTGTTCTACGGCTCTATGGGTGCAGGTGGAGAATGCTTTGCTGGAGGAAGCCCGGGTAGTGGTGGAGACCTACCATGACAGGCCTGAAGCTTCTGCCTTCAAGCGCACATGTGCCTTCTTTGAAGGTATATCAGTAGCAGCCGGCTCTCCTTCTGACGATTTCGTTTGACTTCATTGCTGCAGGCTTTCTGAGCTACAGGCCGAGGCCACAAGACAGAGGCAGCGCCTCGAGTCAGAGGCTGCGAGGGAATCACCCTGAATTCCAGTGAGATTCAGGACTTTGTGATATTTTGGGTGCCTGTTGTCTTAAAGGTCTTAGTAAGACTTGGTACTCAAGGTCAGTAAGCTTAACAAGTGCCCCAAATCTAAGTCATCTCTTTTTGAGATGTGAGACTTTGTTTCAAGACCTCAAGCAGGGAATAGCACATTGACATGGGAATGAGCACAGCAGGTGGCACTGACAGAGCCATACCACCTCGGAAGAGCCTTGAGGCCTCGTCGCTTCTGCACGAGTCTCGGCGCTACTACCACTTCAAGGTGCCACCATATACTTCTCTCAGGTCACGCCTTGAAAGCGGGTTCCCATGGTGGCTCTTGTGGTCCTCAAGTCTCCAGTCACTCCGCCCCAGGATTAATTTGCGTGCCTTCAGCCCAGATGTGTTTGATTCATAGTACTCTTCCCGGTCATGGAACAGATTGCTGGACAATGCTTCAAATGTTACTAACATACCCGTTCCCAGTCTTGATCATGTGCCTAGAATTGGTTGTTTCTAGGGGTTCAAACTCTAGAACAGGGGTCTGCCAAAAGATCTGAAGTTCGTGTGCTGGTTTCTTGTCTGGTCTGATGTTGCAGTTCTGTATTTGGGTCCCTGATTGCATTTGAAACGAGCGCTGAGATTTCTATGTTTTGAATCACCACTTCATGATCCCCCCAAGAAACCATAGTAGTTTCCATTTCATTTTCCATTATTCCAATATTATCCTGCATATAATCCGTAAAATACCCCTATATAACCCCAACCCCTGAGCCCTTAGACTTCGAAAACTCGGAGGCGGAGGCCCAGCGTCTGCTATCCTCAAAGGGCCGACCGCCTGAGGAGGGACCTGGCTGCTTGGGTTCCATAAGGGAGATCATGATTATTGTTACTATTATTAGTACTGCTATTCTTATCAGTATTGATATTAATATTCTTATCATTGGTATTCCGACTTTTTCTTCTTACTGCTGCTGCTGCTGCTGCTGCTGCGACTACTACTACTCCCCTTACCACTACAACTAGATGGCTG